TTTGGCCTCTATGGTGAAAGTGGTTGAAGCCAATCTGTAAGAGTTTTGCAAAGAGGAAATAGCCGATAGACTTTGAGAATCCCAAGTTGATTGAGCAGTAAAAACACTCACAGTATAGTCTAAACATATATTTAATTCTTGCTGTATTGATGGGGTATTTGTACCATCTATTGGTGTACAACCTTTTGCACATAAATGCGTATATATCATTGGAGCCTGTTAGCCCACAGTTAAGTTTCTAGACCTGGCAGCTCCAGCAGAGGTTTGTCATTGTGTCATAATGAAGCTGTACATTTGCCACCATAGTATGACAGTCTAACAGCTCTGTGCTGCTCCACTTCTCCACCGTTTCCAAGTACATGGAGCAAGGCCACAATGTGCTGCTGCTAGCTTTGCTAACAAAACAATGTGGCATAAGACAAACTGAGCGCCAAACAAATGAGCGGTACAGCTAAGCCATCATGGCAGAATAGACAAAGTTCAAGAGCGAGGACACAATCACAGATCTACACCAATTTTACACCAACTGTGTTAATAAAAGGCAGCATTTCCTCTGTCAGATTCTAAAACTAAATACTCACAGTCATGGTCAATTTAATGAATGACAGGGACACAATGGAATATATTTCAGAGACTAAAAAGGGGGAGTTTGCTTCTAGTGGGCTTTCTCTGCAGCAGCTGTTCAGCTCATGGCTTTGTCTCACTTCCCTTTTCAGTCGGGTGGACCGTCTCTAAACCAGATTTGGACTGGATCTGCAGTCTTGCATCAGTCACTTCCTTGTTAATGTTTGTTTTGCCATTATTTAGGAGTTTTGTTGTTGTTGTTGCTGTTGTTGTCAGTGCTGGTGTTTATATTTTACTTTCCATGCCTGAGTTTACTGCTCAGACAGACAAAGGTGTCCTCTTGGCTCTTTTTGTGATTTCAGCACTGGACAGCTCCTGAAGCAGAGCCAGTTAAATCTGCCTCAGTGTTTTCCTTGATGGACAAAAAATGGTTGGGACACATGTTTACACAGAGTTAATGAGGGGGAAATGTCTCATTGAGTGATATCAAGTATAATGTTTGCATCATTATAGTATGAGCTCATTCTGTCAGACTGATGAGCTGCTAAATGGGCAGAACTTGAGAGGCCTACAGTGCTCTATAAATGCAAAGTGGAACCACACATTTGGTCTAAATTAAGACTGGAACTGGACTTTGTGATTACTTTTTTGTCATCTGCCAAGGTTTCCTAATTCAGCTATGTTTTGTTTCAGGGAAAACATGGGTGCATAATTTGTAGTAACTGCAAAACGTCTAATATAAATCAAGCCAAACTACATCAAGAGTAAATACTGCATGTAAGCTTTGTATGAAAGTGAAACTACAGTGATGCAAACAAAGCCAAAACACAGTACCTGTACCTACAGGAGTTTGGCTTTGAATGCAATTGGTATGACATTAAGCCAAATTACATTAAATACCATTACTGTTACTTAAGTAGAGGAGGCATTGTGAGAAAGAAGGTTGCTAGATGCTTTTTACTGCATTCAAAACATTGAAACCTTAATATTAGGTTATAAAAGTCTTCTTTGTACTTCTACGTATCTGGGTCTGGGTCGTGTTTTTTTTTTTAGGATGGTAGGGGAAAGTCCTTCCTCCTTTGCCTCTGATTGGCTAGAAAAGCTGGAAACATCATTGCATACTCAGGCCAAACAAGGTCTGTCAGCTCTGTTCATCGAACAGAACATTATCGCACTTCTGAATCTCCTAACCCTAACCCTAATCCTAATCCTAACCCTAACCCGACAGACGATGACGTTTGACAGCCACAAGGAATAAACAATCAAAGCCCAGCATTTCTAGCCAATCAGAGGCGAAGGAGGGCGGGACCTTCCCCTACCATCCTACAAAAAGAAAAGTTCCAGCTGGGTCACGGGGGCAGCAGCTTCAGGAGGGAAGCCCAGACAGTTCTCATCCCAGCCACTTCCCCCAGCTCAGATTCCCAGGTGCTCTCAGGCCAGGCGAGAGATATAATCCCTCCACCTGGACCTGGGCTGGCCATGAGGTCCCGGTGGGACATGTCCAGAACACCTCTAACGGGAGGCGTCCAGAAGGCATCCTAGAAGAAAACCCATTTCGGCCTCTTATATCCATGATCTCGTTTTTCGATCATTCAAGTTCATTTTTAAAAGAAAAACAAAAGGAAATCAATGAAAATATCTATACTGATACTTGCTCTGTCTTTGCAATTCATGGAGATTTTAAAAGTATTTCCAACATCACAGTTCAGCATCTGTATTTTTAAGGTAATAAGTCTCATTTTGAGTACACACCTTGTCCGTGAGCGTTTATTTAGGAATAGACATCACATGAATGCATTAACACTGATGTACCCACAGCACATCTGTCTGACCATGCATGTAGCCTTTGTAGGGCAGCACAGAATAGCTGCTGTTTTCCCTCAGGTGCCATGGCTGTCAGACGAGAAGCTCATTTTGTTGTGTTCAGTTTTAATTTCTGATGTTACAAAAGAATCCCAATGATCTGAAAGAAATGAAAACAAATGACCCAGAAGTAGATAGAAGAAGACAGTGTGAGCTACTGTCTGTCTTCTACCTAACTCCACACGGAGCAATACAGCATGCTGCCTTCAAAGCCCAGAGGCTTTCAGGTTCAGTGTTCAGGTGTGCATTCATGTGACTGTTTTTGTGTATGTCAGCTCAGAGATTTGGCTCAAAGTTTGTGGCTGATGTGTGACTTGAGTTTGTAAAGAAGGTAGCAGTATTTTTTTTTTTTGAAGGAAAAGTTAATGTTTCTTTTATTGTTGACAAGAAAATAGAACTTTTCAAGCGAAATTTCCATTTAGATTACTTCTGCTGAGTTTTATGAATACTAAGGAAGAAAAGAGAAAAATCAATTGTTTGCTTTCAAATCAGAAGAAAACCATTTTGTCACACCGGGTCAGCCAATGACCTTTTGCGGTCATAAATTTTAGCACACAATAAAGTTAAATAATCACCATTTTGTGGCTTTGCAGGAACAATATGAACAGATTCCACTGAAGACGTTTTCTGTGCTGCCCTGGATAATTAAAAATGAACTGCAGGGGCTGTTATGAGTTGCATTTGTAATTAAAGGTCACAAAAGAAAATTGACTTGTTCAAAAAGTGCAGAAAATGCAATCAGTAGTCAGGCAAGTCAAATGTGTGAAAATACTGTATGTGCCTTTGTGTCCTTCTTCTGTACATTAACAGTCATTGTTTCATTCGGCTCTTTTATCTATTAATTACTTACTTTCACTGTTTTGTTAATGTACAATCAAGACAGTGCTGAACGGCAGAGAAACCACAGAAGCCTGTTTCACTAAAGGGAAATTTCCAGTGAAAAGCCTCTCTGCTGAGCTCCTTTCTTTGCTCCAATATACTCTGAGATGTATGCTCTCACAATGCTACAAAACTTGCTCCCTTGGTAAACCTGTCATGTGCATGCAAAGCACAAATGCAAACTCCAAATGAATAAAACACTCACACTCACACACAGAGAAGTGATCTATTAGTCTCCTCTCCTCACCTCTATGTCAAGGCTTCAGGCTAAACTGTGGAGGAGAAATGTTGCAACATCTAATTGTCTGTTTTCCTCCCAAAGCTTCTCCAAAAGGGTCAAAGCCGTTAAACACTGTGGTATGGATAGTTAAGCACTCACCTCAGTGGGTTGTTTGAGGGTTTCTGTGTATATGTAGATGGTTTTCCCAAGGAAAATCAGTGTGGCGTAGTCAGAAAAGTATGTTTTAGGGTTTTCATTCCACCAGTCTTCAAATACAGTGAAAAATATGTACAGAATCAAAACTATTTACAAAAATATTCAAGCAAATGAGCAGTGGGCTCACGCTGAAAAAGAGTTCTTCAAAAACCTTCAGCAGCAGCTTGAGCAACCAGCAAAACTCAAACAGCCCATTCATAATCAATCTATTCTCAAGCATCTGCCATGTATCACCAACTCTCCACACTTACATGAACAAAATGGCTGACTTTTAAAAAATGAGCCCCTTCTTCTTCTTCAATGGAGTTTATTGGTGGTTGGCAAACTAACTTGAAGGTGCATTACCGCCACCTACTGGACTGTGGGACAGTAAATTGGCAGACAAAAAAAATCACAGTTGCCATCAGGGTGTTTTCCTATCTTATGCAGTGTATTGTTCAGTCATGTATGCCCCACCCTATGTCATGTGATGACTGCTTCTTCCCTCCGACTCCTGCCCCTCCTTCTTCTCAACCCAACTTTTTCCTGTATATTGTAAAGGTGTCTTCCCGTGTCTTGGATGTCCCGGTATTCTTGCCACACTTTCTCCATGTGTTTCTTGATTATTGATTTACCCTCTGCCTCACATAACAGAATTTCTGTATCTACAGTGTGTGATTTGAGTGTATTGTATGTACGAGTTCTTGCCTACTTGACTTTATGGTTTTGATACTTGTAAGAGCTGCCCAACTGTCTGATGCCATTAGTGTATTGTTACGATTGTTTTCTTCTATCCACTCCAAACCTAAAATGATAGTTACAAGCTCAACTGTATATACTGATAAATGGTCTGAGGTTCTTTGATATGTATTTTGTAGTGTGGAATGAAAACAGCAGCTCATGTTCTTCTAGTATCAGGGTCTTTTGACCCATCAGTGAAAATCAACATTTTGTCTGAAAAATGTTGTTTCAGATAACTTTCAGCTACCCTTCCCGCAGAGACCTGTCTATTCTTTTTCTTTAATTGTTGCTGTATTCGAACAATGAGTAATAAACAAAATTAATCAGGGTTTCCTTTCTACAGAAACAACCAACATTGCATTAAAAATCTCTCACAGACAACAATATACATCTGTTACATTTTCCCCAATTTATATGTTTTAATTCAGTCTTCTATGCTGAAGAATAACCCATAATTAGGTCAAACAAATCAGGTGCCCCTTTTCCCGCCAAGTGCCCTTTAAGAACCCAGAGGTAAATGCGCACTTGTTGGCTGACACTGTGGCTGACCGAGGGCAGCGTGGAGGAGAGGTTGGCGTCTGTGGTGAGTGTCTGTGTGTGTTTTGTATGAACGTGTGTGTTGAACTGCGAGTGTGCACCCTCGTGCGAACTACAGGACTTGTGGGGATGTGAATTATTTTGTCACTTGTGACCGCTGCGGTGGACCAGAGTGGAAAGTTTGATGTGTAGCGTGTCGCGTGCAGCGTGTGTGTGTGTGATCGTCTAGCGCGTGTATGTGTGCGTTAGCTGCACTCAGTGACGGGGCTGCTCCGTCACAGTATATGCTTGACTTTGTGTATTTTGTTTTAGCCCTGGCTCGGTAACACAAAACAAACAGCAGAGAATTGCAAGATAGTCCAGAGTCGACCCCACAGTTTGGGATGTGATTTACCGCTGAGCCATCAGCAGTGAAGCTGAGTGTACTTCAGGTGTTCTCACAGGAAGTAGAGAAAGAAATAGGGGAGAGTGGGGTAAGTTGAGCCACCCACTGTTCCTTGGAAATAGTAAAAGAAATTGATCATGTGACCAAATATTTAGGAGATGGGCATCAATTCATGGAGTCTGTGAGGATTAGAAGTACATGGGTGAAGGGGTTAGACATTTATTTACAAAAAATGTTTTTCACTTTTGAAAGTGAATTTAGTCTGTGTTATTGGAATTGTGTTTGGACCAAAAAAGATCATTTTTAATTTGTTTTACACATCAATTGTGGTATCTATGAGCTACAACATGAGGTCAAAAACCTAGCATAAAAGTCCACCATTTTAGTTTAGAGGACTAATAAAGTCATCATAGTTGTTCCGGGGTAAGTTGAGCCAGTGACTCAACTGAGAAAGTAAAGAAGTCTGATGAGAGGATCAGAGTTTCAGTTCAGATTGTTGAAATGTGTTACTCTTTCTTTTAAAAAATACAGCTGTAAATGTTCTGAATCACTTAAAGACATTCTCATGTTAAAATGGCTTTTTACAAAACAGCTTTTTAGCAGTTATATGCAATAACAAAAAGAATTATTGTACCAATTGAATAGCGTATAATAGATAAAAATACACATGAATGTGAAGAAGTGACTGTTATTTAGGGAGAGAGAAGGTGGTGGAGGGCTGGGGTGGAGAGTGGGGGGGTAGTAGGGATACGGCTCAACTTTACCCCGCTCTTATGGTCAACTTACCCCATACACAGGGTAAGTTGACCATAGGAGACCACTTTTTTTTGGCATGCTCTATTATCAAGACAGTTATGTTTACACTCATTCTGTTGGTTTGCAGGGATTAACAACATCTTGAAATATATGCAGATACACTAGTTAGAGACAAAACTGTGATTGCCTTGATGTAGTGATCCGAAATATGAAAATGGCTCATCTTACCCCACTCGCCCCTACTCCTCACTGCACTGCACGCTCATTTCAAAAGCTCCTGTGTGATTTATTAGTACAACATTTCTTCAGACCACACCCTCTCTCTGTTTCCTCAGAACTTTTAGACACAGAGTTTGCACAAACAAACTTAAACACTCAGTGCTGAGGTGGCAGGGGAATCATTTGTATAGTGGATTTGAAGTGGTCAGGAGAGATTCAGTCTGGATAAAGTTAGAGACTCTTCCCTGAAATGTGTTTGCGTGTTGTAGTGCTAAATATAGAGAAATCATTCATGCAGTAAACCTCTTTTCATCCCCTTCACTCTGAATGCAACATGTCAAGATCACAATCAAACCGCATGTGTGCATTGAGACATGCATTTTTATTAGTGCTTCATACATTCTTAATCTGACAGCATCTGTAACGGATCCTGATAATGCAAATAAATTTAATACTGATAATTTCAGAGCACATTGGCCTGTGGCTTCTGAATATCATGAAAAAAGCATCAATATGATTTTCAGTGTTGTAGCATCTGTGCTGTAAGGTCCAAAAAGTGAAACAGAACAGTTGGACTTGAAGTAGGAACATTTTTGGATGGATTCTTAAAAGGTTTCTGTCTTCACAAAGTGGGTAAAGTCTTGGCTGTATGCGGTACAGATGGTATTATGAGTCAGTAAACGCAAGACAAGACTTTGGGGCTTTTGTGAGTGATGTGCCAATTTGACCCAGGATCTGATTTGAAAAGGTTAGAGAGTCATTTTTCATTCATGTTGACTTTGAACTCACCACTGTGCCATTGAGAGCTATGGGTCCCAGTATCAATTTCCTTTTACTGAAGGCAGGAGCTCAGACGACTCTTGTCACAGCCACAGATCTGGCTGCCAGCTCCACGGGCCTCCTGAGTCTCCTGCTCTTTACTTTGGCTGCCAGATAAATGAAGTATTTTTTTCCTTTTTTTTTTAAATCTGGCAGAGCAGCACCTTTTAAGAGGTCAGTAAGAGTGGCTTCGCTGAGGTATTAAGCTCTGTGGATACAGCTCATAGCTCAGCTCCTGGAAGAGCCAGCAGTACTGAGTGTGTGAGACCATTAATCTCAAATCATGCATGCTTCAATAACTGCTAATTTCTGAGCGTAGAAACAGGCAGATGGATGTCTTCTTCTCCCAGCTAATGTTTCCACTGCCATATAGGATCAAAACCAACTTGGACACAGCCAATACTTTTTGACAACAGATATCCATCAGCATTAGGATTTGGTCTCTTTCTGTAAAACTCACCAAATTTTAAACAGAACAGTCAGAGCAGAGGAAAAAGTAAAAGAAGAAAAAAAAATGGCTGTGGAGGAATGTAAACTAGAAGGAATGAGAATATGTCTTTAGAGTTGCATCATTTTACACAAGATATCAAGTTCATAGAAGTATTATTTTTATTAAATGGATATTCCAGAGTAAAATTAAGTTAGGGTCCAACACACCGTAACACCAAGTTAGACAACCCCTCGAGAGATAAATGTTGCTGGCCGCTTGCTTCTCTAGTTAAACCAACTTTAGTAACAACCGCAGATAGCACAGCGGTCTATGTCTCCACGTGCAACTCAACCAAAACGCCACGCTGTAGCCACAAATAATGTTCAGAACAGCACCTAACGTCATCAACAGTACATAGAGGGTCCCAGCCATAGCAATAGCAACCAAACATCTTTTTAGCTTTTCCTGATTTCTTTAGCAAAGAGACGAAACACAACTTACCCAATCTCTTCCAGCAGCCGTTTGTTTGTGGGGGCGCGCTGACGAGTCGATCACTGAGTGCAGCGGATCATTTCCTTGAAGTATATCCATCATATTAATCATTTTGCACTGCAGATGCGGTGGTTCTTCTGCCTTAGCATCTCGGTCTGATTGCATTTCCATGAAGAAATGATCATAAATGTTCTTCCTTGAGCTGTGAAACTCCACTGCAATTGGGGATCAACTCGTCAGGACTCCAATACAGATTATTGCGTGTGAGATATGTTTTAAAGAGTTGTTTTTCTGGAGGTAATCATACACCACATCTGTTATTTGTCTTAATCACTGTTGTAGGTTCTCTTATTTTAAGCACGTCTCCTCAGAGTCCCAAATCATGTCTTCTCCATGACAGCAGTAATGCATGGGGAATGCACAGCCAGCTGTGTGTGAATGTGATCATTTGTAAGTAGACAAGGCAGCCTGAGAAATCATGGACACAGAAATTAAGGTAAAAAGAGGACTCCAATAAAGATTTTAAATAATTATAAAAAACGAGTTAAACATTTCAGAGGATATTTAAGGGAAGAACATGCAGACTGTCTCACAGAGAAACCTGGGCTCAGGGAGTTGTTTGATTTATCGACATTTCTCTTGTATCCTCTTATACTTGAACGTCTCTTTTTCTCCTCTAGAGCTCTTACCCCTACTTTAGCTGTTTCTTATTTTCCTCATTCTGTCCAGTTTTTCACAATGCTGCTAAAAATCCTTCCCCTTTGACTTGTCCTTTTTGTTGCTCCATAAACCCTGCTTTCTCTTGTGTTACTGTACAGTTGTACAGGCTGGAGCAGGTTATGTTGACATGCCAGCACTCTTTCTCTCTGACTTTCAAAAAGCCATTCCTTCTTCTGTATTATCATTTAAAACATGCATGTGGCATGAAACCATAAATTTACAAGGGAACGGTATTAAACCAGGTGACAAATTAGAAACTGGCCTGATTGATTCCTTGTGAAGTGAAATCGGTGGGCTCTTCCCTGCCATAGTGGGAGCAGAGTTACCTGCAGTGTGATTGAAGGAGGCTGCTCGGCTCTGACACTGTCATTAATAATCAGCAGCTTTCACGGAGACTCATGCTGCCGCGTGCGAGTTCAAAACACTTAACCATTACACATGACGCTGAGGGCTTGATATATAGCAGCACGTGACTCTGCACTTCAACTGCAATGCTGTGGAACAACAACAGGAAGTATTAGGATTTTGTCAAACAAGTTTAGAGGAAACATTGTGACACAATGTCAGCTCATTATAGGCTAAATTAAAATAATGACTGTAATGTTAAGTTTACAAAGTTTAGCATCTCTCTATTTGAATGTTTGAATAAAGTGTTGCAGGAAAAACACAATATCACTGTTGGTTTATCATTGAGGAATAACGTCTTTGACTGAATTTGTTTTACAAACTCTTTGAGTGAGAAATCATCTCCAAGTCCCACTCTTCTTGAAGTGTTCTTAGTGGGCTTTAAATTGTGAATGTGACGTTTTTAGTCAAAATCACGTTACCTGTGTCATTTTCAAGGGCTTTCTTCTGCAGAGCTCCAGTAGATCATTAGCAAGTTGCCTCTGAGTTGTGGGCGGAGACAGCGCTGCTCAAAACACTTCTCTTCATACTAGCTTGCAGCCTAACATTGCCGGTGTAGTAGAAGTAGCAGGTAACATAGGAGCTATTCGGCTCTCGGACACTAATGTCTTTAGGGGCATGATGAAAGTTAATATAATAAGTTTCCTTACGAGCATTGCAATCCGCTAACGCACATGCTTGTTCCGTGATCATCCTCTCTCAAAGCCTGGCCTGGGGCTCTGGGGGCGGAGCATGGATTTGCCAGGTAGGAAATCTCACTGGTCTGACCCTGCCATCGAGGTCTGCCAGAGATTTACAGCGATTTGAATGCAGAAATACTCAGAATATGTCCTGTAGCATCAGAAAAATGCCATATGAACATGTGGACAAAAAGAAAAACATGGTTTTCATCGGAGTGGGTCAGAGCGGGTTTGCTCACACAATTCAAAATTCCGCATATCCCGCTTCTAAATCTCTACATGAGGGTGAAATATTATGAATCTGGGTGTAATTTACTGGCTGCTAATGCTGTTACTTACTGTAAAACAGGTTAATTTGCTCCCTATAAAACAGCAGTAGATATTAAATCACCTCATTACCTCACTTTCAGGCTGAAGCACCTCAATTTTCTCTCCAACTTTTTCCTCTAAAAATGAATTCAGCAGAGATTAATAAGCAGTTTGTGAGTGGCTTTAATTTGCCTTGGTAGGGAGTCGGCTGCAGGTACTTACAGCTGATAAAGCTTTTTAAGAGATTATGAGGAAATGAAGGGGAATGGCATAGTACCTGCTGATACTTCTGTTGCTTTACTTGAAACTCTTTGATTTGTGCCTGCACATATAGATTTATATGCAAAAAACACAAAGACTTTTTCTTATATGTGCTTGATGCTGACATGCGTAGTTTCCTTGATTTTAAGTGTTGGCAATTTCCCACTCATGCTCACAAAGACCTGCCAACCAAGAGAGATAATTGCAATGCCTGAGATTCATCTGGAGATGTCTGACTAATTATTTTGTGTCATCATTTAAACTGTCGGTTGAAATCCAATTATGAGGCTGTCCATGTAGCTTACACAATTAGGGCGGGTGTAAAAAATTGAGGATTAAACAGCCTTAGCGAGAGATAAGTTATAGGGAAGCAGTGCCTGAAATATGACGAATTTCATTGAGAAACTTCTGAAACTAGATTTTGATGTTTTAGTACAGCTATTTTCTGGAAACAAAACCCCCAGTAAGAAGAAATTTAGCTTTGAAGAAACACAAAACACATGGGGATACCCTTCTGAAAACCGTGAGCTTTAGTGTAGTGCCAAAACGTTTTGTTAGCAGTAAACTTGATTCATCTCACTACATCTCCTCCCATGATATTTCTATCTGACAAACTGTCTGGTGCATAAAGTAAGAAGCCTAAAGAGGCTTCTGGGGATGCTCAAAGTTGATAAATAACATAAATAATGATTGTGTAAAAAAAACATTGCCGCAACAAGAGAAGCACAGAGCTTGTTTTAGAGGTTGACTGACACATACTGATGCCACAAAGTTGTTGCTTCTTCCTGATAACTTATGAATCATGTGCACACTGTCATTGACCTCCTGCTCTCCGTCTCTCTCCCATACACACATACATACATATTCTGAAGTTAGCTGTCATGTCTTGTAGTAGACCTGCTACATTTCCATCCAGTGTCCCCAGGGCCCCAGCAGCACTGCATAAATGAGTAAATAAACTTTGACCTCGGGCAGGTCTATAAATTGTGATTCTCTCAAAGAGGTGTGTCTGTTAGTCGATATACTGAGGGGATCTCTGTCTGTTTCCATCTCAAACCAGGGAAACAAGTTCCCACTGAGACTGGACTGCAGCAGCAATGAAGCTAGAAAAAAACCCTCACCGCACCATCAAACCCTTGACAGCTTGTCTTGCTCTTTGCCACTCTCTCCATTCTCAGTCTCCCCTCTTATCTTCCTCTTCTCTACTATGCCCTTTACCCTCCCTCATTCTTCTCTGCATCTCCAGCTCCTCTCCTCTTCCTCACTCTTCTTATTCGCACTTTGACACACTCTAACTGTTTTTCTGCACCTGATAGGACCCCTAAACACACTTTGCCCCACTGTTAAATCAATGCAGAGCACACCTGAGCGACAGCCACAATCTTCATACCTGCCTTTTATTCCCCCTGCCTTAAACTCACGGTGATTCTCCTGTTTGTGCTTCAGGAACTGAGTTTGTTTCTCCTTCATTCAAACACTTTGGTTGTATATTCTGAAAAGTTATATCAGTGTGGAGTCTTTTTAATTTGTTTTGCTTTTCTTCAGTTTCCTTTCTTTAGTTTGCCTCTGCATGACAAAATCAAAATTTGTTTCTTAGCCAGTGTTTCACTCATTTTTTTTTTCCGATTGTATTTTGATGTTCATCATCTTCTGTCAATCTTACATCAGTTTTTATTAATTAATTAATTAATTTATTTATTTTATTTTATTTTTTGGAGGGGGGGCAGTTTTTACCTCCATGAGATAGGTACGAAAGAAGATTAGGGCCACAAGAAGAGGAAACAATAATAATTACAGGAGGGAGATTTTTTTTAAATTTCCATTGCAAGATTTAAGTGGAAATATTTTGAGATTAAAGTCGAAATTTTTTAAAGCTGAAATGAAAGAAATTAAAATTTCGACATCAAAGTCGAAATTTCAATACTTAAAAAAAAAATCAAAATTTCGTGAATAAAATCAAAATTTTAAAATAAAATTTTTTCATCTCAAAATTTTTACATTTTGTAATCTCGAAAATTTGACTTTACTCTTAAAATTTAATTTTTAATCTGGAAATTTTGACTTTATTGATATAATTTTGATTTCTTTAATCTTGAAATTTTGACTTTAATCTCCTTCCTGTGATTGCTTTTTTTCTCTTCATGTGGCCCTAATCCTCTTTCATAGGTAAGACACCTGGGGCCTCATGTATCAATACTTGCGTGGGACTCATACCAGAAACGAGCGCACGCAAGGTCCGTCACGCTGAAAAAAATGCGTATGTATCAATGTGTGCGGGCGCCGAAATCCACGTGTGTTTCCTTGATAAATCCCAATCAGCGTGGAATTGAGCGCAGATGTCGGAGTGACTGGGCCCGCCCCCGTTACGCCCTCCTATAAATATGCAGATTTATTTAAATAGGGTCTCCCTGTCCTCGCACGCAGACAAAATGACAAGAAAAACTAAATTTACGGCGTGCGAGGTGGAGGTGCTGGTGGCGGAGGTGGAGGAGCGACAGCGTGTTTTGTTTGGCAGCCTGTCCAGTGGCGTCAGTGCAAAACGAAAACGCTTGGAGTGGGAGAAAGTTTGCGAGAGGGTGAACGCGGTGGGTTCCGAGACACGCACCCCCGCGGAGATTAAAAAAAAGTGGTCGGACCTCAAGGTGGAGGTCAAGCGGCGTACAGCTGTCCTCCGGAGGAGTACCGGCCAGACAGGTGGGGTTCCGGGGGAGGAGACCCTCACGCCGTTTGAGCAGCGGGTCGTGGCGATTATTATTATAGGGTAAGTGGCGTGTCACACAAATGTCCACATGCTTTGCCATCCCACTGAGCAAAAGACGTATATTAGACGTCTAGTCTAAGTTTATACTTCATTTCAACGTCGGGATTCAGTCTATTTCTAGACGTGATTTATACTTCGCCCTTAACTTCATTTTTCGATAACTTTTTATGCAATAAACAACTGTAATGTGCATAACTGACCTCGAAATACTGGATTACATTACCTATGATACCGTGGAGAGAGATGTAAACGCAACAGATACACAGAAGCAGGAATTGAAATGAACAAATATTTTTATTGTGTCACAGAAATCAATGTGTCGGCCGTGTCGCCGGCTTGCGGAACCCCGGCCCGCGGCAGCCCGTCTGCCGGCTCAGAGTCGTCGGCCAGGACCAGCGGCATTCGGGCCACCCCGGCCATCAGCACCAGCGCGCCGACAAGCGGTGGAGCGTCCACCAGCCGCGGCGCTTCCGCTGGACCACCCGGACGCAGTGGAAGGGTCCTCACGGAGGCGGTCCTGCAATCGCAGGAAGAAATCATCAGGGGGATCGCGGGGATCAACGAGCGGCTGGACCGGCTCGTATATGTCCTTGAGCGTCTGATGGCGAAAATAAATTAATTTGGCTCATTGAACTGTGTATTCACTTCTTACCCATTCACCAAACACCGCCACACAGCGTCGCCAAAGTGCCGTCAACGCAAGTATCGGCTCAACGCCAACTTCTACACCACCTCCTCACTTTGCGTTGATTAGCGCTGGAACCGACGCTCGTTTCGTGATGATAAATCTGGACGTGTGCGCCGATTTTGGCGTACGCAAGGTTTTCTGGCGCCGCCAGCGTTGATACATAAGGCCCCTGATGAGAGTAAGGAAATGTGGGAAGTGGAAAGTGAGAGATGATATGCAGCAAAGGCTCATTGCCCTGTTGTGAAAGTGAGGACTAACCTCTAGGGTGTACGCTTAAACCAAAACAGCCAACAGCAACTTCTTCACACATTCTGTTTGCTCTGTGGATTTCTTCTACTCACCCTGACATCAACAGTTTGCTCTCCATTTGTTTACGTGTGTGTGTCCCGGTGCCTCAGATTGACGTCTGAATCTGTCAGTGTCTCTGATGTGATTGTGATGAGATGCAGACTCATTTAACTGCACATCAAAGCAGCACATTACCCCTGACAACAGGCCTTTGTGTGTGTTTTGTGTGTATATTTCAGGCCCGGAGACTTCAGGCGCATATGCTTCCCAGTGTGTAGTCTACTTGTTAGATGATTTAATGAGCTTCATAATTGGATTGGATGGAATCTGAAACTTGGAGAGCTGAGATGCTGAACAGGAGAGGGAAAGACACACACTCACACTGAGGACACACACATGAAATACACACAAGCAGTAACCTTTTCCTCGTTGGTTGAAAGTCTGAAAAAGGTTCAGGCAATGAAGGAGCACTGCATCTGGAATGGCGCGGATCCAGTTTGATTGCATGATGATGCAGAACCCGCAGATTCACGTGCAGTTGTGTGATGACTAGTTGTTTTTAGCCACATAAGCTAACCATATAAGCAGTAGCCTGTGTCCTTCCAGAGGAGGAAATCTACTTTTAGACTTCTAAAATCAGCATCTCCTCAGCTATGGTGTCATCGGGGTGAAATGCTGTCTATAAACCTTTCACTTGTTCGTCCCCGCCCGTGTGCATGGTGTGAGATACGATCTGCCTGAAACATGTAGTGTTTTATTTTGAAAAGAAGCTGGATGTTGTATTTTGTGTCTGTGCCCAACTTCCTTTCCAGCACAGGTTAATCTGTGCTGAATTTATCCGGCATGCTCCGGCGTCCGGAAAAAATAGAATTCTTGCGATCAGCTGCGGAGTCCGGTGATCCGCAGCGGATCAGAAAGAAGCTGGTGGAAATTGACACATTGACTTGAACGGTTTTGATCAGCAATGATTAGCGGATACGGCCTTTTCATAGCTGTTCCAGATTGCCAGTTACTCACAGCTGAGAGCCACACAGGTCTCCTTCATCCGTACTACAGCCTGCAACCAACACATACAGGGAACAAAAAGTAGCATCACAGATAAACTGTGAAAGGAAATAATATTGAATAACAGATTGACGGTTCTTAGAAAAGAAAGAGGAAGTGACAATGTGATAATGAAAAAGGGAGGAAAGAGTGATGTTCCCCTGAAAATATGGTGAGAGGAAACTTTCTATGTGCAGGAGAAGCAGCAGATGTCTGGGACTTCTCATTTGCTTGGCTGCAGTACAAATGTTCAGTTTGTTTTGGGCCCATCAAGGTCCCCTGGGATCATCTTTGACCAGAATGTAAATGCGGCTTTGGAGAAAAGTACTGGGAGCAACTTGCTCACAAGAAGACTAAATTGCAGAGAACCAAAGGTTAAATGATGAGAAGTTATCTGTAACCTTTTCTGTGCATTAAAAAGACCCTATGAGAATAAATGCAGCAGCAGCTCACTGACCGATGACACCACAGACTTGTATAGTGCCACAGGTCAGCTATTGATGTTTAGCCCTCTATGCATTTATTAGTAAAAACAAACAAAATAAATAAATAAGGGATTGGTTGGACGATAACTCAGTACGATGTTTTATCTTAGTCCATATAGTGAGCTTTGACTCATCTGATGGCATGCTCTATTTTTAGTGCTCTGCCCTTTTCCTTCACAGCGGTCTACCAGCTCCCTTTCTCTGTCAGTTTTTCTGTCACTTTCCCGTGAAGGCCTAGCAAAGCATCAACAGGGATGAAAGCCTGGTTAAGATTCAAATTTTCCTCTCTCATTCATTGAAAGATCAGATCTTTAACTGTACACCACCCCGTTCTTTTGATCATTTTTATCAATATCTCTCTTGTCTTTTTTGCTTTTAATCAACTGTGATTTTCACCTCTTATTCACATTTTCTGCCTTTGAATGATTTGTTACTGGGGAGTTCAGTCAGATATCACTGATTCCTTCAACACTGAACAGCATGTTCTCCTCAGGCACATAAATATTTACTTCATGTCCCACAAGTTTTATAAGCTGATAAGGCTGCTTTTTTCAGCCTGTTTTCATTTTGGGGCTTTTATACTGTAAAACTTCAAACAACAAAAAGGATAATATGCTATAAGACTGACAGGAACAGGGACCCAGTTTCTGAAAAAGAAAAAAAAAAGTGCACAGCTAAAGCCACTTATGTGTGACACAGTGTGACAGGTTCCTGTTTGATACTCCACTTCGGGACTAATGTGTTTTATCCCTGACCAAATATTTGATGTTTTGCCCCTCTTTCCTTTCCTAACCTCATTTTTTTTTCTAAGGCAAACCAGCATGCACATGTGTGCTGCATGGACCACCTCACTTTGTAACAGGGGCCACAGCAGGCAGCCTGAGTGATTATTGAGTCCTCTTTATAAAGCACTGTGATGAGAAAAGAGTGACAGGATAAACTGAGAACAATAAAGAAAAAAGGATAAGAGCAAACAAAGAAGAAATCCTGAGTTATGGATACAGATGCAGCAAATGCAGATTGGGAGGTACACTTTGCAAAGAGGGGCAATAAGTCAGAGATTAAAGATCAAATCAGATGGCATATTTATCACAATGATCCTTTTTCCCGTAAAAGTTCTTCAATTGATAAGGAAAATAAATCACTACAGCTTCGATCTGTACCATAGACTGTATATAGAATGGACAGCGTCTGACTCCTTACTGGGTGAAGCCACTCCGAGAACAGCACCCTCTGTTGATTGGCTGCAGTATAGGTCATAAATCCCGCCTCCACCAGCAAAGCTTTTGAAGCTGTGGACAAACTTTAGAAATTTATTACACAGAATATAAAATTTTCTCCCCCCTGCTTGTGATGTTGATATGTAGTTACTGTCAGACTGGTTTGTGCTCAAATCCTTTTTTTTCTGTTCAGCTCCGTTTTTAAAAGTTATTAGGGGGTTCATGTTTTCTATGATTGACACCTGATACAGCCTATGGGCATTCAGGGATTGCGTAGCTCACCCGGGGGATACGCTGTTTGAGCTGAGCATCATCACAGTGACTCTCGGCGACTGCGTGGCCGAATGCGTGCATCGCTACAGCGCAGCGCTGGTTTCAGGAAATGAAGAAAAATCCCGGAAATATCAAGAGCTTTTTGGCTCCAAATCCGTATACAGGTGGTAGGCGGAACCAAGTTGTCCATAGTATATACAGTCTATGATCTGTACATTTTAAAAGTGTACCAAATGTGAATAAAGATATATATATATATATATATATATATATATATATATATATATATATATATATATATATATCTTGCACTTTATATTGCATACTTTTAGGGCTGGGGTGATTCGTTGACGTATTCGACTACAAAAATTTGTCAACGCAAAAAACATGCGTGATGATGTAAACAGTGGTTACCCCAGGTAACGGTGGAAGCATGGACAGCAAACGAGCTCCACCTAATGGGGCCAATTTCAAACCTACTTTATCATGATCTATTAGCAGCTCCTCTCAATCAAGGCATGTGTTTTTTCCGGCTTCCTCGTTCACAATCCAAGATCAAGCTGCTGTCATTCAAGGAGATATGCTGTGACCTGTCAATCAAATAACCCACCGCTTGTGCAGCAAACGCCACAATGGACACTGCATCATACGCCCTGCATCCCATATCTAATTCATTCACTTTAAGCAGTTGGCTTGGAGTTTAAGCATCAGTTTTGTGCTTGTATTTGTCCTATAACTCGCTAATTAATCAGCTGTGTGATCGCCGACAATAGCTCGCTAATGCTAATACTCGGCACACACGAGCTCTGCTGCACATATGTATACTGATACACAAGTCCGAGATAGAGCCATGTAAGCAAACAACTCATTTTTAAAGTGTGGTGGCTTTTATTTAACTGTGGTACTGCGCCACAATTGATTGCATAAAGGGGAAACCCTGTTATCTAGCGTTGTGTCATACTCTGCAATGTAAACAAACACTGTCGCCAGCATTATGCCAACCGCGGCCCACAATGCATTGTGACATAATGTGCCTCTGCGACATAATGTGTCTTTTGGCCCATGTGATTTGACCCATCCGAAAACCAACATGAGTGAAGCACTTTGCATTTTTTAGCAAGTTATGATGGCAAGGAAAAACTTTCCTGTAACAGGCAGAAACCTTGAGCAGAGCCGGACTCATGTTGGACTGAGTTTCAGTCTTTTATTATTTAAAAAGGCAACAGCTTAAAAAAAAAAACCTCAGTGTGCTTTAAAGTTAAACCATCTAAAGTTGTGTATTGATTAATATCATACCGTACGTTGTTTTTTTAATGCTCTTCCACTGACACAAGACCTTGCTGCTGTTTACCTCAGCTTAGGCTATGACTCCAGAATATACATGGTATCAGCCATTTACAGGCACTCTTTCCAGTATCCAGTATAAATCCCTATCAGTTTATTTCTAATTTAAAGTAAAAATGATCAAACTTGACAACGAAACTTCAGACACTGCTGGTTATCAGTACTGCTTTTCTTGTTTATTCCCTACCACCCGTCTTAGATCACCTCCTCTTGGCTTTCTGCTTCTGAAAACTCCATTCATTTTGTTTCTTGGTCACCTTGTTCAACGCGCTGAACCCCTCGATAAACGATAGGCTGTTCAAGAGCACAAATCCTGTTTGATGCTGCCGTGCAGAGCATCAGTTGGTGCTTATCAAAGACAATGTCATTTGTAGAAGCAGAGGAGTGGGTGTTTATGTTTGTTTACCCATCTGCAGGAAGAGTCAAATGTGATGGGAGGTCTGCTGTTAGGCTATCAAGGAAAAGACATTCAGCCTCTTAACTTGAGCAATTGCAACAACAAAACGGTTGTAAGAGGAGTGAGCCATTACAACTATTCACAAGGCTGTTGTGTTGTTATTGCTCAAAGGCACATTATCCATTCAGGAAAAAGAATCTGAGATGCATTGAAGTGTGAGACGGCTTGTGCATAAGAGTGAGGATTCTCGTATGTAATCTTTGAAAAGTAAAAGAAAGGTGACATTTTTTTACTTGTTAAAGGGCAAATTCACTTAAACGCCTCATCTACTCTGAAAAAATAGCAATAAAAGTCAAATCTGAATCATGGAGTGACTTTTCTCAGCAAGAGATGAAAAATCAAATCCACCAGAAAAAAAAAACAAAAAAAAAACTGCTAATAACTTTGTATCTTCAAATAAATACTGATCGAATAGAAATATGATTTTCAGATGAGAAAGAAGTATGGAAACAGATGTACCTCAGTTTTAATCTGAAAGCTGGCGGGTGGTCATATGGCAGGAAAGGAAGAGAACAAAAGGCAAATAGCGAGATGTGGTAAGAAAATGATAGAGCAAACAGTTTGGTGACCTGTGGGAAATCAGTCTTCCACAATTCTGCAGTTTAATCCTGAAGAGTGGCATCCACTTGCTTTATATGTCACGCTTTAATATGCATCCAATCAAACATTGGTGAGGAAAGACAAACATAGAGTGAATCTAAAATCAATGAAAGAAAAGCAACAGATGTATTAGCTCCAACATTCAACCCCACTGTAAACCCCTGCGATGTTTGTGCTCGTTCTGGTCAATCAGATTCATATAGTTTTCAAGGACACTGAGGAAAAACATCTGTTGCGTATGCAAAGGGCTTTCAGATGAAGGTTGGTCATCATAGTTTTCTGAGACTGTTGTTGATCAGTGGTGCTGTGCTGTTTTTTTCTCTGCTCTCTGGGACGTACTGTGCCATGGCTCTACTTAGAGTACTAAAGAAGCTGTATCCTTGCCTCTTTTTTCCTCTCTTCTTATTATGCTATTTAAATGCAGCAGCTGCAGTGAAGGAGGTAAATACATCAGACCACGAAGAGCCACCAAAAACAGTTTTCTCCCCTGTCTCATCAAAAGTTCATACCACAAGCCTCTCAGGATGCGGTGGTCTAAGTAGGGCCCCATGATTTCTGTGAAAAACACCAACAAATTTGTAGAACTGGACAGTAAGAAATGGGAACAAGTGCAAAATGTGGGATATCAGGAAATCTGCAGAATTTTTTCTTGCTCAGAAAATCTCTGACCTCTATCTTTCTCTGCAACTGATTTACTGCAGTGCCTAACACAAGCTCTGCAAAAGAGAGAGGGAGACAGGTCCTTCATTACGTCCTTCCTGTTGACACTTGATGATTGAAAAGTGATTACCTGTGTTGAACACCATTGTTACCTCTAATACCATTGTTCAAAAAGTTTTGTGCAGCTGTTAGCTACCGCATTGAATAGTTTCCAAATTATTTCATTTTTAATGAGCCTTTTTCACATGCAGATCACCTTTGAAAATAACAGGATGTTAAAGGGATATTCCGGCGTAAAACTAAGTTAGGGTCAAACTCACCGTAACACAGAGTTAGACACCCACAAGTCTTCCTTAGTGCTTAGTCTCTCTGCTAAAGAAATCAGGCAAATCTAAAAAGATGTTTGGTGGTCAGTGCTGTGGCTAGGACCCTTTTTGTACTGTTGATGAAGTTAGGTGCTGTTCTGAGCATTATTTATGGCTATAGAGTGGCTTTTTGGTTGAGTGTGTGGCTCTCTGTATTGCTTTCTGTGGTCATTACTAAAGTTGGTATAACTAGAGAAGCAAGCGGTCGACAACATTCATCTCTCAATGGGGTGTCTAACTCGGTGTTGCAGTGTCTTTGACCCTAACTTAATTTTATGCCCGAATATCCCTTTAAGTGGGATAAGCTAAAGTTGTGTTATTTGGTTGTTATTAGACCAGTCCAACCAACCTGTTTCCTTTAAACCTGCTCATCTGTTAAATGTTCCTAATAGGTGATTTTTGAGCATTCCTCAATTTTCCCAGACTTTTGTTTTGTTGTACTTTTTGGGAATGTATTTCAGGCATCAAATACTTGCAAAAAACAATCAATCTCATAACATTAAAAATCTTGTCTTTGTAGTGTATTGCATTGAATATAGATCAAAAAGGATTTGCAGTTAAAACTTCACTTCAGATCATGTGATCTTTGATTGTGAACTATTAAAGTCCTCTATGAATAATAATGACCCGGTTTCCATGTCAGATGTTGAAGATCTGACAACATTTTCTAAGATCAGTCTGAGACAGTTTTAACTGATGTTAAAAACATTTGAGGACACAAAATATAAATCTGTATTTGGAAGAGAAACAAAGAGACAAGGGAAAATATAAAACAACAAAAATGAAAGGGTTACAGCTCTGAATTGTCTGTCACTGTCCCACTTTCTGTTCAAAGTTCATTTTTTCTGTCTCTTTGTTTTTTAACAATCTGTCCCTTTGTACTCCAGTCAACTTTCTTCAATCCTCCATCTCTGCACCTCATCACATGCGTCTCCTTTAATCTAGTCTATACCCAAGTTTTGTCTTTTGCCTCCTTCACAAATGAATCAGCTTCAAGGTGACAGTGTCTTTGCACTGTACTTTAATGAACATAAAACAATCAAAGACTTGACATCACACACTAAACCCAGGACAAACTCTCTTCCCTGATGTAAATAGAACACACACCCAGGGTGCTGAGCCTGGATGCTTTTAGTATTTTCTCCTATAAAGCTAGAACAACGTCAGACCCTGATAAACATGTCAAGAAGGATTTGGTTTATTATCTATGAATGAGTTTCTGCTCATGTTTCAGGTTTTAGGTTGCATTTTACAAGTATTTCTTTGACCCAGATAATGCACACCATAAATTCATGTAAACAGTTTCTGAAGTGTCCTCTTTACTTGTTATATCTTGCTGCATATAGCTTCTCAGTATCTCCATGTTCCAGGTGTAGGGGTTCAGCGCCCCTTATGACCGCTATACGAGGCCTTTCTCTGACGCCAAGAGGGTGTGTGTGGAGAACTCCAGACAGCTGCAGGCTGCCTTTACAGATGATATGACAACTACGATGCTAGATGGCTGTCTTACCAGACTGTGTAATTAGTATTTTGACTATAATTTATAATTTTCTCTCCTGCACATCAGTGTGTTAAATCTTGGCTATCAGGAGAAGAAATATTGGGATTGGAACAAACACACAACAGAAACTATTTACATATTTATACTAATTCTTCCAGGCATTTTTTTTTTGCTATTTACAGTTGTTAATGCCACTCCTTGAAGCAGTTCCTGTCTGGAATGAGACAGAAGGCCACATCATACTGCTCATGATCTCGTCTTTGCTTGTTTCCAAGCATTGAGAGCCATTATTTCTTATTTTGCAGACAAGCAGGGAACTTTCTTGTCTGTTGTTGATCTTTGGTTGCTTCTTATTGGACACTACTGCCAAAGGAACAAAAGAAGAACAATATGAGACCATGTAACTGGTCGAAAGTTTGACAGAAAAAGATGTCACCAAAACAGCTTGTCAAACCCGGAAGACATTAGCGGCATTTAGCAATAGCGATCTTTTTTTTAATCACAATAATATAATAAATTATCATGTTTTCACCAGTATATCACTGCAGATTTAGCATCAAACGTCTCTGATCAAACACTTGTTTTTGTGGCTTGATTGTAAACTTTATGGGAGGTGTAGAAATGCCTGGAAATCCCTGATAGATCTCCAAAAGGGTAAGCTTTTGAACACTTTTTATCCCATAGAGATACACGGTATAGTTCCCAAGAACTGTAAACAATATTAATGGCGTCATGTGGGATTGCCGGCGATCCAGCGGAGTTTTAAGTGATAAATAAACGAAAAATTAAAAGAAGGCATTCGATAAAGATATGATTTCATAAGTGGTTTAAAAGAAGACACTTGTAGGAGATTCTCCACGTGATGGATCAGATTCTCCTCATCCTGCAGGTGCTGACTATTCTCAGGTTTTAAACTAATGAGACCAACTAACCAAGCCTCTCTGCTCTGAGCGTATGTGTGTAATGAAGACCATTAGTGAAACAAACAAAAACAGCTGCTACTCTGTATCAACATAATTGACCAGGATAAAAAAAATCAAACAGGGAAAAGTTAATTCTCTTTTAAATGATTCTCTACCACCTGCATCCCAATAGCAGATAAGAGCAGATCCAGCAGTGTGTTTGGTTTGATTTCGCTCTGCTTCCCCAGACCTAAACAAACTCTGACTCATTCTCCCTGGTCAGAGAGATAACAGGAGTGCTGACTCTCTATTTAGATATACCTTTAACATCTTTTACGAAGTGTTTTCATGAATCCTCATTTAACTTCTCTTCCCTTTTCACAAGCCCAAAGAATAGGCTCTTTTAGTGTGATGACTGCCAGACTGAGATCATAGACTCCTCCTATAGGTACACAAGCTGAGTATTCACACCCTGAATGAAAAATGACGACTTTTCTTACCATTGAAATACCCAAAATACCATCCTAGCACCGGCTCAGAAGGAAAGATACAAGAAAGAAGAATTAAGGCTAAAACTCTCCCAATGACAGCAAGAGGAATGATCCAATAAAGGTTAAACCTTTCTCACCTGTGAATTGCTGGAGTTATTGATATAGATACTGACTGCTGTGCAACCTGAAAACTAATATTGACCTGCATGGTATAAATGAAAATCAAAGCTAAAATCTGCATGTATTATTCACAGCAGTATCCACTTATGGTGGAGGATGGGCTGCTCTGCCATTCGCTCTCACCTCCGTGGATGTCTCTGCCAATTAAGCCACAGCTCTCTGAAGGTAGTGAGTAATGATCGCAACAGTAAGGACAAGAAGGGGGGAGGGAAGAAAGAGCAGCAAAGATGAGGAAGAGTGGTTAAGAACAGTCATTTCTTTTCAAAAGCTGACAGCTCATATCACTTCTTCAAATAGGATCAATGGGCTGTGTTAGCTTTATTGCTGAACACCTCAGGCTAAACGTTAGATCTCAACACTTCTCAGTTACTGATGGTTGCCTCTTTGATTGAAGGGGGGTGGAAAACTTCGCACTGCAGACACAATATCAAAGACCAAGAAGACTCTAAACTACTACATCCAATTATTTTGAAAACTTGTCTCAGTTAGCTCCCTTGCAAATAAAAAATATTTTGTGACATTTTATGTTAGTAGACAAAAAGATCTGCACACTGAACTCTGGGTAGATGCTCCTGATGTGACTCAAACACTCCTGCAACGACTACCCTTCAGTCTTTTTATAGCATGACATATCTGCTGATGAGGGTGGCAGTAGTGCTGTCTGTCTTTCTCTCTGCCTCTCTCATTCTCAGCCTCCTCTCCCCCTGTTCAATATAATGTCACTTTGATCTGAGTGATTCTCTCAGCCCAGCTACACCTCAAGAAGCTAGGGCTGTCACTTTATCAGATTTTTACTTCATGTTTATTGTGGCCATGAAATATCACAGTGTTATGGTGATATCTATAAGAAACTAGAAAATAAGACTACACAGTCAGTCAAACTTCGGAATGGCAAGGGTGGGGCAACAGTGCGTGTAAGTGCGTCTGCTGTTTTGATAATTCTCACTATTTTATCAAAATTCAGCTTAATAGTCTGACCATCCTAGCTAGGGAAAAAATCACATTACTTATTTCAGCAGACAGTTTTTTTTTTTTGTTTGTTTGTTTGTTTTTTAAAGCTATCCAGGCTTGGCTTATTCAAAACCAATGGAGCTGAATCCAGACCCCATAATGAACTTTCACGCTTTGGTCTATTCTGCGTCTGTTTAGAAGTCACTGCGTCAGGTCTCAATAAACGATCACTTCCAACTTTAACACAAAATCAATCCAGACAGCAGGGTCCAAGACTGATATTATCCTTTGACTTCACCTATTCTGACCACTTAACTGAGAATCCCACTGGATCTGGAACCGCTCCGCTCCGGACCGGCAGACAGATCAAATATGCAAGCATATAGCGCCCACCTGATCCGATCCGCTGCCTTCGGAGGAGAAGTGATCGCAAGATTACTGATATTTCTCGCAAGACTGGACATGATCTCATTAGATCTCGCATGTTGATAAACGGCGATGTATATAAACACCCACATCCCACAACCCTGGCCTCTCCTATTATCAAGTGAAGAACAGTTTAATGCATTGACTTCATTTAATTAAAAAAATTAACCAGGTATTTTACTCTATAATCGCATACAACTTCCGCTGCTGCTTGTGCTCCGCTGCACTGAATTGATTATAATGCTTGCATATTTGATCCGCCTGCCGTGTTGGTGCGGAGCGGAGCCGTTTCAGATCCTGTGGGTTTTGCCCGTTTCAATGGGCCATCAAGTTAATGGTTGTGTCTAGACTAGGACCCTCTGGAAATGGGGTTTATTTGAGCAAACACCCCACCTGGGGGTCTTTGGAAGCCAAATCCCAGCCAACTGAGATCACTAACTCCCCCACCTCCCCTTGGTAGTACAATGCTGGATATCATGCAGGCCAGGAGAGAGACAAGGATAGGATGATGTTGATACTCTGCTGGCTATAAAGAGGGGTGGAGAGAGAGATGTAAGGAAGCAGTGAAAGAAGACAGCAGGGGAGTCAAACTGAAACAACCTGCAAAAGTCCTGCTGAACTATTGTCTGTGGCAGAGCGCTCTACTTTATCCCACTGGCAGCTTGTTGAACAACCAACTGCCCAACCCCAGACCTCTGTGAGGAACCAGAGACAGCCGGGGAAACCAGGTATAAGAACCTCTCTTATGCCTTCACAAAGAGTAGACAGGTGTATAAATTCAGGTTACGCATCTCTGTATCAAAAACACAAAAATCCTCCTTGTGACATATAAAGCGCTTAATGGCCAGGCGCCATCATATCTCAACGAGCTAGTTATACCGTACTTTCCATCTAGACCGTTACGCTCACAGTCTGCAGGTCTGCTCGTTGTACCAAATGTCTCTAAAAGTAGTATTGGAGGAAGAGCTTTCAGCTACCAGGCACCTCTCCTCTGGAATCATTTACCGCTCGAGGTTCGGGGGGCAGACACACTCTCAACTTTCAAGAGTAGACTTAAAACGTTCCTCTTTGATAAAGCCTATAGTCAGGGCTGATTTGAACCAGCTCTTAGTTATGCTGCTATAGGCCTAGACTGCCGGGGCTATCTGGCACACTGAGCTAGAGTCTGTCTCTATCTCCTCTTTAGATCTTTATGTCCCATATAAGTCACCGACCAGTTTTCTGTCTCTCTGAGTGTCTCTGAGTCTTTTAGCTGCCACTGGACTAATGCTGCAAACAGGTCTGCTGCGGAACTGCCTGACCCCAGCTGCATCCACCCTGGGCCCTGAGCTCCTCCAACTCTTTGGCTCTTTGGCTCCTCTGGACCGTTGCCGCAGACCGGCCCTGAGCTCCTTCTTCTCTCTGATTCCTCTGGACTGTTGCTGTTACTGTTACTGCAGACATGAACATCAGCCTCACTGTCATTATTGACATTAATAATACAAAATAGAACTGACTACGATTAAGCCTGCTAACTGTAATCGCACTCAATTAATTCAACATTGTCCATTATCACTCATATCCTAAACCTGTAAACTGAACTTCTTTTTGTTTCACCATTACATGAGCTGTTGTTGTTGTTGCTGTTGTTCCTGCTGCCTCCTGTCTCTCTCCCACCCTCGTTCCCTACTCTCTCTCCCTCCCCCTCCCTCTCCATACTCATTCTCTCTCGCCTTTCCCCCATCTTGTTGTCTCTCTCCCTCCCCCCGTCCTCTCCCCCCCTCCCCTCTTCTCTCTACATTCCTCCCCAACCCAGCAGCGGCATGGTGGCTGTCTAGCATGAGGCTGGTCCTGCCCAAGGTTTCTGCCTGTTAAAAGGAAGTTTTTCCTTGCCACTGTAACTCATGTTAGTTGAGATGGGCCAAAAACCCATCTTAGGTTGGTTCTTGATCATCAAACAATGAGCGTGGTCCAGACCTGCTCTTGTTCCTTGAAAAGCGTCTTGAGATGACGACTGTTGTGAATTGGCGCTATATAAATAAAATTTGATTGATTGATTTGAAAAAGGGTGCAAGTAGAAAAACCATGGTTACCTGACTTGAAGAACCACCTCTTAGCCACTGCACCACATCTCAGATACAGTATATAGTTGTCGCTGACTCACCTCAAACTCTATTGCAGGTACATTAAAAATAGAATCCAGGTCTGCAGTGTCCTAGTCCTTTTATGTTTGGAAGCTTGTGGACACTTTTCAAGAGTGTTAGCACAAAATCAGAAATAGACAAGGATGACACCAAAGAGTAAAACAACCCTTTGGCTTCCTTGTAACCAGCTGTGCCTATTTCATCTGAACCATACGCTATCTGGTATTTCCAATGAATGAACTCCATGTCACTGTTATCTTATTTATTATGAGGGATTCTTGTATGAGGGACTCATGTTTCATTTAACCTTCCTGTCGTGTTCGGGTCAATTCTGACCGTTTTACAACTTAAAACACTCATAAATTTTGTATTTTACATCTGATTGCCTCAAGACCTTATGATATCCTCCACACTGTGCACTTGAACATATAAAAGTGATAATGACCACTTTCATTAAACTTTGAATGTTGTAGTCAACTTTGTAACATCTGTGGTGTTCCCGGTCAAAAGTGACCGCCATAGGAGATGAATGGATATCCAGATTATATTCATCCCCATACACACTACCCCAACACAGACACACACACACACACACACACACACACACACACACACACACACACACACACACACACACACACACATCAGACACATCAGACTGAACTATTTTTTTTGTGGGGTACACATCTCTTTCCCACACTTAGGTTCTGACCCTCCCACGTGAACCACCTCCCAAATCAAACAATGTATCATTTCTTTACTAGACTAGACAGGTGTCTGTTACGAGAACCCCATTTTTCCCTGTGCACACACACATGAACCACCTTTCCCAATATATAGCTTGATGTGCCTTTGCACTCATTTTACTCTGAGCACAATGAGTAGGTGACTGACAACACGGTTAGCTGTCAGAGAGACTCTAGACCTCATCTTTGAAGATGAAGAGGGCAATGAGGTTGAGCTAGAGATAGAGGAGGATGTCTCAGAAAAAAACTCAAAACAAAACTACAGGATTCTGTATAAGCTACGCTTAGTCTGGTCCCTCCCCCAGGACTGGAAAAAAAACTAAAGAAAAGTTAAAAAAAAAATAAAAAAATTCAAACGGGCAGAAAACTGGAAAAAATTAGAGAGAACTAAAAAAAAAACGTATAATTTTTGAAAAAAAAAACTTAAAACCGGCAGAAAACTGGAAAAAAAAACTAAATAAAACAAACAAAAAAAAAGTAGAGAACTATTCTGAAAAAAAGAAACTGGAAAAAAAATTAAAAAACAAAAAAAAAAGTAGAGAACTATTCTGAAAAAAAGAAACTGGAAAAAAAATTAAAAAACAAAAAAACAAAAACAACCTAAACCTGGTGTTTTGCACACAAAAAAACTGAAGAAAAAAAGAGCTAAAACAGGCAGAAAACTGGAAAAAAAAATCTTTAAAAAATGTTTTAAAAAATTTAAGAGGGGTGTTTTGCACAAAAAAAACTGAAGGAAAAAAGAACCTTGTGGTTTTCCCTCCCATGGGAGGGTTTTTATTCCCCTCCTGGAGCTACCACCATAGCATGGTGGAGGAGTTTGTGTGTCCCAATGATCTCAGGAGCTATGTTGTCGGGGGCGTTATACCTCTGAAGGGTCACCCAAGAAAAACAGGTCCTGAGGGAGGGACCAGACTAAGATTAGCTCATCCAGACAAAGGTGCCAGGCAAAAAAATAGGAAAAAAAAGGAAAAAAAAAATAAGACTAGCTCATCCAGACAAAGGGGCCAGGAAAAAAAATACAGAAAAAAAAAAATTAAGAAAAATTTTTTTTAAAAAGTATTTCTAAAAAAAATAACAAAAACACCCTTAACCTGGTGTTTTGCACAAAAAATAAATAAATTAAAAAAAATAAATCATTAATTTTTTTCCAGTTTTTTTTTTCAGATGTACTTTCATTTTTATTTTTTCCTTTAGTTTTCTTTAGTGTTTTTTTTTGTTCAGTTTTCTGCCTTTTTTATTATTATTATTTAATGTACAAAAAAGCCGGTTTAGGGTGTTTTTGGTTTTTTTTTTTTTGCTTTTTTCAGTTTTTTTTTTATTTTATTAAAAATTTTTCCAGTTATTTTTTTCAGAAATACATTTCTATTTTTTTTATTTTCCTGTAGTTTTGTTTTGAGTTTTTTTTTTTGCCTGTTCTTTTTTTTATCATTATTTTATGTGCAAAACAACCAGTTTAGGGTGTTTTTTTTCCAGTTTTTTTTTTCAGAAATACTTCTTTTTTTCTTTTGTTTTTTTTTTTCAGTTATCTGCCTGTTTTAAGGTTTTTTTTTTTTTTCTTTAGGTTTTTTTTTCAGTTTTCTGCATGTTTTGAGGGTTGTTTATTTATTGTGCAAAACACCCGGTTTAGGGTCTTTTCGTTTTTTTATTATTTTTTTATTTTTTTAAATAATTTTCTTTTTTTTTTTTTTACTTTTCTGTAGTTTTTTTCAGTTTTCTGCCTGTTTTGAGGGTTAGATTTTTTTATTTATTATTATTTTTATTTATTTTGATATTTTTTGCAAAACACCAGGTCAAGGTTGTTTTTGTTTTTTGTTTTTTTCAGAATAGTTTTCTTTTTTTTTAAGTTTTTTTCTGGTTTTCTGCCTGTTTAATGGTTTTTCTTCTTCTTCAATTTTTTTTTTCCTGGCACCTCTGTCTGGATAAGCTACGCTTAGTCCGGTCCCTCCCCCAGAACTGGAAAAAAAACTAAAGAAAAGGAAAAAAAATTTTTTTTTTTTAAACTGAGGGAAAAAAAACGTTCAAACGGGTAGAAAACTGGAAAAAATTAGAGAGAACTAAAAAAAAACTTATAATTATAATTTTTGAAAAAAAAAACTTAAAAACGGCAGAAAACTGGAAAAAACTAATTAATAAAAGTAGTGAACTATTCAGAAAAAAAGAAACTAGAAAAAAAATTAAAAAACAAAAAAACAAAAACACCCTAAACCTGGTGTTTTGCACACAAAAAAGAAAAAGAAAAAAAGAACCTTGTGGTTTTCCCTCCCATGGGAGGGTTTTTATTCCCCTCTTCGAGCTACCACCTTATTGTGGTGGAGGGGTTTGTGTGTCCCATTGATTTTTTTTCAATTGTCTGCCTGTTTTTTCTATTTATTATTAATTTATGTGCAAAACAGCCAGTTTAGGGTGTGTTTTTTTTTTTTTTGTTTGTTTGTTTTCTTCAGTTATTTTTTTTTTTCCTATATTTTTGCCTGGCACCTTTGTCCTGATAAGCTACTCTTAGTCTGGTCCAAAACACCTAGTTAAGAGTGTTTTTTTTTTTTCTATTTTTTTCAGGAATACTTTTCTATTTTTTATTTTCCTTTAGTTTTTTTTTTCAATTTTCTGCCTGTTTTTTTTTTTTTTATTATTAATTTATGTGCAAAACAGCCAGTTTAAGGTGTTTTTTTATTTGTTTGTTTGTTTGTTTGTTTTCTTCAGTTATTTTTTTTTCCAATATTTTTGCCTGGCACCTTTGTCTGGATGAGCTACTCCTAGTCTGGTCCCTCCCCCAGGGCCTGTTTGCCTTGGGTGACCCTTCAGAGGCTTAGCTCCTGGGATCAATGGGACACACAAACCCCTCCACCACGATAAGGTGGTAGCTCGAAGAGGGGAATAAAAAACCTCCCATGGGAGGGAAAACCACAAGGGTTTTTTTTTTGGTCCAAAACACCTGGTTAAGGGTGTTTTTTTTTTTTCATTTTTTTCATTTTTTTTTCCAGAAATACTTCTCTATTTTTTAATTTCCTTTAGTTTTGTTTTTGTTTTTTTTTCAGTTTTCTGCCTGTTCTTTTTTTCAATCATTATTAATTTATGTGCAAAACAGCCAGTTTAGGGTGTTTTTTTGTTTGTTTGTGTGTTTTCTTCAGTTAGTTTCTTTTCCTATATTTTTGCCTGGCACCTCTGTCTGGATGAGCTACTCTTAGTCTGGTCCAAAACACCTAGTTAAGAGTGTTTTTTTTTTTTCTTTTTTTTTTTTTTTAATTTTTACTTTTTTTTTCAGAAATAGTTTTCTATTTTTTATTTTCCTTTAGGTTTTTTTTTTTCAATTTTCTGCCTGTTTTTATTTATTATTAATTTATGTGCAAAACAGCCAGTTTAGGGTGTTTTTTTGTCTGTTTGTTTGTTTGTTTTCTTCACTTATTTTTTTTCCTATATTTTTGCCTGGCACCTCTGTCCTGATGAGCTACTCTTAGTCTGGTCCAAAACACCTAGTTAAGAGTGTTTTTTTTTTCTTTGTTTTTTTTTTTTTTTTTCCATTTTTCCTTTTTTTTTCAGGAATACTTTTCTATTTTTTATTATCCTTTAGTTTTTTTTTTTTCAATTTTCTGCCTGTTTTTTTTTTATTTATTATTAATTTATGTGCAAAACAGCCAGTTTAGGGTGTTTTTTTTTGTTTGTTTTCTTCAGTAATATTTTTTCCAATATTTTTGCCTGGCACCTCTGTCTGGATGAGCTACTCTTAGTCTGGTCCCTCCCCCAGGACCTGTTTGCCTTGGGTGACCCTTCAGAGGTTTAGCTCCTGGGATCAATGGGACACACAAACCCCTCCACCAGATAATGTGGTAGCTCGAAGAGGGGAATAAAAACCCTCCCATGGGAGGGAAAACCACAAGGATTTTTTTGGGGTCCAAAACACCTGGTTAAGGGTGTTTTTTTTTTCCTTTTTTTTTCAGAAATACTTTTCTATTTTTTAATTTCCTTTAACTTTGTTTTATTTATTTTTTTCAATTTTCTGCCTATTTTTTAAAATGTATTATTAATTTATGTGCAAAACAGCCAGTTTAGGGTGTTTTTTTGTTTGTTTGTTTTTTTGTCTTCTTCAGTTATCTTTTTTCCCGATATTTTTGCCTGGCACCTCTGTTTGGATGAGCTACTCTTAGTCTGGTCCAAGACACCTAGTAAAGAGTGTTTTTTTTTTCCTTTTTTGAGAAATACTTTTCTATTTTTTATTTTCCTTTTAGTTTTTTTTTTCAATTTTCGGCCTGTTTTTTAAAATGTATTATTAATTTATGTGTAAAACAGCCAGTTTAGGGTGTTTTTTTGTTTGTTAGTTTTCTTCAGTTATTTTTTTTTCCTATATTTTTGCCTGGCACCTCTATCTGGATGAGCTACTCTTAGTCTGGTCCAAGACACTGAGTTAAGAGTGTTTTTTTTTTTTTTCCGTTTTTTTTTTCAGAAATACTTTTCTATTTTTTAATTTCCTTTAACTTTGTTTAAGTTTTTTTTTTCAATTTTCGGCCTGTTTTTTAAAATTTATTATTAATTTATGTGTAAAACAGCCAGTTTAGGTTTTTTTTTTGTTTGTTAGTTTTTTTCAGTTATTTTTTTTCCTATATATTTGCCTGGCACCTCTATTTGGATGAGCTACTCTTAGTCTGGTTCAAGACACCTAGTTAAGAGTGTTGTTTTTTTCTTTGTTTTTTTCTTTGTTTTTTTTTTTCCTTTTTTTTCAGAAATACTTTTCTATTTTTTAATTTCCTTTAACTTTGTTTTAGTTTTTTTTTCAATTTTTGGCCTGGTTTTTTTAATTTATTATTAATTTATTTGTAAAACAGCCAGTTTAGGGTGTTTTTTTTTTGTTTGTTTGTTTGTTTATTTGTTTTCTTCAGTTATCTTTTTTTTCCTTTATTTTTCCTGGCACCTCTGTCTGGATGAGTTACTCTTAGTCTGGTCCCTCTCCCAGGATCTGTTTGCCTTGGGTGACCCTTCGGAGGCATAAAGCCCCCAACAACATTGCTCCTGGGATCATTGGGACACACAAACCCCTCCACCACGGTAAGGTGGTAGCTCGAGGAGGGGAGGGGAAAAAACCACAAGGGTTTTTTTATTTATTTTTTTATTTTTTTTAGAAAAAATATATTTTTTTATTTTAGAAAAAATATATAAATATATAAATAAATATAAAATAAAATAATACATAATTTTAATATAATAAAAAAATATATGTTTTTGTAGAGTTTTTTTTTTTTCTTTTCAAAAGTACTTCCTTACTTCAAGGAAGTTACTTCTTCTTCCACTTCTCAGGCTTTCTTAACCCCAAGAAGTGTCTCGTCTGTTTCCAGACTGAGGGAGGTGGTTTGGTGGCATTAGAGGTTGTTGTCTCTGCTGGTCCTGCAGTTCCAACTAGTTCTGGAGATCCAGCACTCACTTCGATTTCTAAAGCTCCTGCCAATTGTTCAGCTCCAGAAGTTTCTGCAGTTTTCTCCAACTCCATGCAAAACTGCTCGATGTCCATGTCCATGAAGTCCTGCTCCTCAAGCGTCATCTCACGTTGCCTGATGTCTGTCTTTTGAAGTTGAAGCTCAGTTGAGAGTTCATTTGTTTTTTTGTTTTTTTCATTGTTCAAGCTGGCTTCTTGGGCCACTTTAAGCTCCTTGTTGTCCATCATACCGGCTGTCTGGATGTAGAGCTGTTGTTTCAGCTCCTCCAGCTCAGCCCAGTGCCTCATCTCTGTTTCAAAAGCTGCTTGCTGCAGAACAGCTATCTTCTCCGTCATGGAGTCCTGTTCGGCTCTCAGGATCTGGATGGTCTGTTCCTGTAAGAGTCCATCATGGTGAGCCTGATTTTGCAGCTCACGCTGAAGGGTCTCAACTTCCTGTTTCGCAGCGGTGAGATCAGTTGCATACTGGAATTTCAGTGCTTGGTATGAGGTTCTCATCTTCTCCTGTTCTTCATGGAGGACCGCGTTTCTTTCAGTCAGTTCCTGGACTTGTGTTGTGAGCCTCTCATTTTCCACAATATGTGCCACCTTCAGCTCCTCGTAATCGACATGAAGATCCTTCTTCTTCTTCTGCCGGCTCGTGTCCCTCACCTTAAGAGCAATTCTGTGTTTGGAGAGGGTCTCCTCTGAGCTGTACTTTTGAAGCATCTGCAGCTCCTTTTTGAGCTCCTTCCCTTTGTTAATGTACACTTCCTTGAGAGCCCTTTGTCTGGTCAGCTTCTCTTGAGTCACCTCCAACTCCTGGCTGAGCAAGAGTGTTCGGTTCTTCTCTCCCTCGAGCTGAGTCACAGTCCTGGTCAGCTTCTGTTGAGTCACCTCCAACTCCTGGCTGAGCAAGAGTGTTCGGTTCTTCTCTCTCTCCAGCTGTCCAGTTAGCTGAGTCACAGTCCTGCGGAGCGTCTCCATCTCTCTGTCCCTCAAGTAGAAGGTCCTGTTAATCCTGGGTCGGTTTGTTGGTCGCTGCATTGTCTTTGACTGTTTGTAGTCTCAGAGTTCTGCTGCTAAAAGATTCCGATTGTCTCTTTCTTGAAGTGTAGCTACTCGCTGAAAGGTTCAAACGATACCCTGGACAGCTGCTCTACTTCCAGTTAGTAACACGAGATGAAAGCCGTGATGATGTCATAATGATGTCATCACGGAATTGTTCGTGTGATGTCACGTTCTCTTGTTGTTTGTTTACATTTGAATTTTTCACATTTAAATGTAAACAAAAGCACACCCTATAACAATCATGTCCCAGATAGCAAAAGATAGTGATTCAACGTTGAATTTTGGTAGAAAAGGTTTTTTCAAACCTGCTGTTAACCCACATTGATTTGAGCTGTTTTTGTAATAGATGCTTTATGAATTGATATGTGTTGATGAGTTAAATAAGACAACTTAGTACTACACACCAGCTGTTAAACTGAGCTTTACAGATGCCATCTTGCCTGTCTACTTCTGTCTATTGTTGAACCAAAATTAAAAAAATAGTTCTCTTTAACCCTCGGAGCATCTTCAGGACAAAAATTGACATTTTGGGTGTATTTTTTTGTTCTTCTACCAGTAACCCGGTCAGTTTAAAGGCTAGCTGTATGAAATTTTGGCACTATTTTTTATTTTTTTTTCATTTTACTTGCACTAATTCCAAAAGCCTATCTACTGAAGTGTTTAGAATAGGAGATTTGCATAACACTGACACTTGTTACCCTCATGGCCAAATTTGGCCAATTGACTCCCATTATAACCACATATTTGTCATACGCTATAATCCTAACATATTATAACGCTTTTTCTATTCATAATAGATCTAAGCTTTTACCTTCAAAATTTGGGGAAAATATGTTTTAGGTGTAATGACCCCCTTTAACAACCAGAGGCTATTACATATAGTTTTGGAGAAATTTCAGTGAAGGCCTGGGTTTCTTACCTCGCAAAATGCATAGAAATAACAAAGCTAAACACCATAAAATGGTCTTGGTATATTAGCACTGATATAAAATAGTGGTTTGAATATGGATGAGGGAAAAAAAAGATCAACAGAGCCCTTTTGACCTGGGATTCTTTGATTTTCACACATAGACAGACATCTAAAGGGTCCTTCTGTAAGGGAATAATCGGCCCTCCTGACTCTCAGATGAATTCTCACAATTCACCTCAGAAACATGCTTCTCATTCTCCTCAGAGTACTGCAAGATACATGCACATACACACACACAAGTACACACAACTATATGTTAAGGAGTTTGGTCTCTGGTTTTTGATTTCTTTTTTACGTTACATGTTAATTTTTTAATATATTTTCAATAACTGTTTGTATTTTCACTGCAGTTATTCATGTTAACTACTACTCAGAGACATTGTTTACAGCTGAAAAGAGTGTTAAATAAAGACTTGGTGGTGAGTAATGGCTTTTGTGTTAATTTAAGAGCAGTTAAAATAGACCAGTCAAATTTGACCGGGAACACTGAAGTAAGGTGAGGGGTATGAACACGACAGGAGGGTTAATAATGTGTGCAGCTCACTGAGATTCAGAAACATTAATCTCATCAGTGCTTTCATACATCACAGTAGCAGCAGTACGTGAACACTTCTGTGTGCCCTTCATCTGAATTCACAGCAAACCAACTTAAATAGATCTACCTCTATCTCTAAACTGTCTGTGTCATGTTGTTTCATCCTACATAACCCCCTTTGTGTCTCTTCCACTCTGTCATACATCATGCATACTTAATCTAAGCCTATTTTCCTTTTTTTTCTCCACTCCTCACACATTGGTATGGAGAGACAGCTGCAGACTGCAGACTTCAGTGCACTGAGGTGAGACTGACCTGGTCTTTATGAAGTGATTCATGAGCGAGGACAATTAGGGGAAGTGGGAAGTGCCTAAGCACCCAACAAATCAATGCAGTCCCAAACTATTAGATGGGACTCATAATTGGCTGCAGCCTCTTCTTCTCCTCACTCTTTTTTTTTTGTTCACAATAACTATCATTAGCACTGTTGCCTCAGCAAGCTCACATTGATTTCTTTTAGTTGCAAAGGAACCTGTCACGGTGGCGGAAAACCACAGAGTTAATGAACACGAGGGAGGTCGGGCACACTCATTTACGCTTCACTAAAACTTGAAATCAGAACAGCCAAATTGTGTTTCCTCATGGTTCAGTGTGTCTGTTTGGAATCAAAGCAGTATTTTTGTTAACTCATAGTATTGTGTGTGTGTGTGTGTGTGTGTGTGTGTGTGTGTGTGTGTGTGTGTGTGTGTGTGTGAAAAGGTCATCACATTAAGAATTCAGAGCTGGTAGGTATTCAGTAAATGCAGGAAGCATCTTATGCTGCAACTATTTCAGAGTACAGACATTTCGATGCTGAACTGCATCACCACTGGAGAGCCTTTTTGGTTTAACCTTAAACAAGAATTTTCTTTTGTTCAATTCTTTTTTATTACTATTATTTTTTTCTTTCTTGATTTTTTTCTTTCCCCTTTGCTGAACAGAACAGCTGATTTTAACCATAGACTGTATTTAGAATGGACGCTGTCTGCCTTCTCGCCAGGTGAAGCGGCTACAAGAACAGAACCCTCTGGTGACAGGCTGCAGTACAGGTCATAAATCCCGCCTCCACCAGCAAAGCTTATGGGGCTGTGGACAAACTTAAGAAATTTATTGCACAGGATATAAATTATTCTCCCCCCCGCTTGCAATGTTGACATGTAGTTATTGTAAGGCTGGTTTGTGCTCAAGTCCTCTTTTTTTTGTGCAGCTCCATTTTTAGAAGTTATTAGGGGGTTCATGTTTTTCCATGATTGACACTTGATACAGCCTATGGGCGTACAAAGATTGTGTAGCTCACCTACGATACGCTGTTTGAGCCGAGCATCATCACAGTAACTCTCCGCGACTCTCCCATCGAATGCGCACAATGCTTAGTGTTGGAGTGCATACAACGCTACTGCGCAATGTTGGTTTCAGGAAGTGGAGAGAAAACGCGAAATTACAGAGAGCTTTTTGGCTTCAAATCCGTATACTGGCGGGAGGTGGAACCAAGTTGTCCATAGTATATACAGTCTATGATTTCAACCTGTAAGAGCAGCAGCAGCATATCCTCATGACTTTGTGGTTTTAGTAGAAGTGGACAAACTTATGACCATTCAAACCATGTAAAAAAATTACACAAGGTATTGACCTAAGCTTGAGCAATGTGTTTTTGTTTGGTTGTTTGTTTTGTTTGTTTGTTTTTTTGGTGATCAATTTTTTTTATTGAATTTTGCCATTTCATTAAAGTAAAACAACAAATTAACAAAGACATAATGAAAATACACATGACATGACAAAATAAAACAACAACAACAAAAAAAAAAAACAAATAGACATAAAAGCATACAAGCAACATGAAAAATAATGAAAAAACAAAATAATTGAGATCATAAGAAAAGTAACAAAATCAAGCATAAATTCAATACATAAAGACATCCAAATATATAATGTGTTGAGTGTTGACTGTAATCTCATCATTTGATTTTGTGGACATAATTTGGATATTAGTCTTATCATTTAGTTCAAATCCTATTTTCTGTTGTTACTGTGGTGGTTTATATACATTTTTGTGTGATTAAAAGAGATGAGGCCCTCCCGTGATGTGACCTTACCAACTTATCAGCTATAGTACAGAGAAAATTACAGCAATTATTGTCTGCCTACTACAACAGAGAGATAGAGACAAAGAGGGGGGAAAGGGCAGCATGATGGACGGATCTCAGGGCGAGAAATTAGTCACAGAAGAGGGAGGAAGAGGTCGAGTGTGTCCTCTGAGATGCTGTAGTGGGAGTACTAAAACCCCTTTAATCAATGATCAGAGACTACTCTAACACAGCTGTACAACCATCTTTTTCTTTCTGTCCTCCTTATTTCTTTACTTCCTTCCAACAGAGCTGTCTCAGTTCTCTCTCTGTATATAGTATACTGTATAACTCTACATCCAGCTTGCCCATTCTCCATCACTGTGACCTCCAGCTGAACCTGCACACATAGGCGACATATCCATTTCTATAAAAACTGATATAGGAGGAGAAACCCGCCAAGATGAGGAATGGACCTCAATAATGCATCACATGTCACACCAACACATATACACACACATATATATGCAATTTTCTCAAACTCCTACTGCAGTTAAAATCACTGTGTTTTGTTAATCTAAGTTCAGAAAAAAATTAATGGATTTTCCGGCATAAAATTTAGTTAGAGTCAAACACACCGTAACACAGAGTTAGACACAGTAGCGGGGGGATTCAGCTCAAAGAAGATCATTTATGATCATTACTTTATCATTTCCTTGAAGTAATAATCATGATATTAATCATTTTGCACTGCAGATGCAGTAGTTCTTCTGCCTTGGCATCTCTGTCTAATTGCATTTTCTGAAGTAATAATCATAAATGTTCTTCCTTGAGCTGCGTTCCCCCGCTGCAGTCGATGGACTCGCCCGGACGTCTCTGTACAAACAAGCGGCTGGTGAAGGAGAGACTGTGAGTTGTGTTTAGTCTCTTTGCTAAAGAAATCAGGCAAAGCTTAAAAGATGCTTGGTGGCTAGTGCTGGGCTAGGACCTTCTATGTACTGTTGATGAAGTTAGATGCTGTTCTAAGCATTATTTGTGGCTATAGAGTGGCTTTTTGGTTGAGCTTGTGGCTATCTGCGGTCATTACTAAAGTTGGTGTAACTAGAGAAGCAAGCGGTCAGCAACATTTATCTCTTAAGGGGGTGTTAATTTTACACCAGAATATCACTTTAAGTTAAATCAAGCTGCTGCTGTTAAGAAAAAAAAAAAAAAAGATCTCACTTAATCCCTATTGAAAACGTAAATAGACTAAATATCAATGTGGATCTAATATTCATATTGACATTTAGAGCAAATCACTCAACACAAGTGAAATGACTGAGTATGCTTGAATTTAAATGTTGAGTCCTCCACTTAAACTCTTCAATATAAATAGTCATAAAAGATCCATGAGGACTGGAGAGTAATGAATTAGGCTTCATTACTGTGACACTGATAGTCACAGATTCTCCAGTCTAATCTGCTTTTCATTCGTGAAATAAGTTTGTTCAATTCAGTATTTTCTATTATAATCTTGATCTTGAGCCTTGATTATTAATTTATTAGTTTACCTGGGGTTTCATGTTTTGGATTTTTGGTCGATTGGTTGATTTTTTTTGGTTGGTTATTTGCCTTTTTGGCATTTCCGTTATTTAATCTTCAAGTTAAGTCTGCATCATGGGTCCTTTGCTTTGTTTGAATTCTACTCCAGGACATTTTCCTCCATGAGGGTAGATTGGCATATCAAGAAAATAATAGAATAATAAAATGGACAAATGCATTTTATGAGGAAAAGGTAAAAAAAAAAAAAAAGAAGTGTGGAAGGTTAAACTAACAAACCAAGTAATATCTTGACTTGTTGGGGAGATTTTATGCCATTTTCCAGTTTAAACAATTTTTGGGATTCTATCCAGATTTTAGTGAGTAACTTAATCAGAGGCACCTTTTTTCTTATAACAGCATTTCAAAAATCACATTTGCAAGTGTCAGATGGTTTATTTTGAATGTAATCTACTGAAATTACTCTGTGCTTGAACTCTGTGCTTGAATTCTTTAATTTCTTCGAGAAACATCAAACTCAATATTTTTGTTTCACAGCCTTTACAAAGGGCTGACAAATAAGACAAATGTTATACAGCTTGAGTACGTGTTTTTGTAAAATTAAACAAAATAAAGTGTAAGAGGGGAAAGACTGTGCAATGGTTATTGGCTGAAATATGTGTCCCTAAAGGTCCATTCATTCTTTCCTGAGCAGCTGGGCTGATTTCCTTCACTGGTGGAAATGTTGTACATCAAGTGAGTAGCATATTGCACACAAACTCAAGTCAGTTTTTGCTCTATCTCATTCATGTTATTCACACCCCATACCTTTACATTGAGTCTATACAGAGATTTTTTGCTGACATACTCTACCTCTATTGGTTCAGGTTGGGCCTGAATTGGGATATGAGTATGGTCCTTGGTGCCCAGGACACTGGGGAAACCTGAGGGAGGGGTTCAGTCAATACAGACAGATCAAACTGTAGGCGTCTCTACATGTACAGTAGGTCTGCTTTAACTGCCATGTACCTGCAACTAAGTGAAATGCCCCCTTGATCCTTTGCATGGGGTGATGGCTAACCTGGGATTTCCACCGCATCCGGAATGGCTCCAACGGCGATTTTTGCATCCGGAACAGCTCTGATCTGTAACGGCAGCGATTTTCGCTGTACACCAATTCCTACCGGGTCTGTTTGTTAGGCAAATTTCGTGGCGGATTACAGACAGCAGTACTCGCAAGAACTCATAAGAACCCGCGGATTCACATGCGTGATAACAACTTGTCTTTAGCCACATAGGCTAACCATATAAGCAGTAGATTGTGTCCCCCAAGAGGAGGAAATCTACTTCTAGACTTATAAAATCAGCATCCCCTTGTCCATGGTGTCATTGGGGTGAAATGCTGTCTACAAACCTTTAACTTAATTCGTTCGTCCCCGCCCGTTTGCATGGTGTGAAATACGATCCGTCTGAATCACTTAGTGTCTAATTTTGAAAAGAAGCCGGATGTTTTATTTTGTATCTGTGCCCGACTCCCTTTCCCATACGGGTTAATCTGTGCTGAATTTATCTCGCATGCCCCGGCGTCTGGAAAAAATAGAACTCTTGCAATCAGCTGTGGAGTCCAGCGATTCACAGCAGAACAGAAAGAAGCCGGTGGAAATTGACACATTAACTTGAATGGTTATGATCAGCTACGATCGGTGGATACAGCCTTTTCGTAGCCGTTCCGGATGTGATAAAAATTGCCTGTAACAATGGTAACAAGGTTTTTTTTTTTTTTTTTTTTTGGGAAGTAGAGCAAGATATACACCCTCCTTATCTCCTTGTACACTGTTGCCATAGAGAGTTGCTCAGTATCACCCACACTGTCCCACAGGCAAAGATCTGCAGTGTATAACAGACAGACTGCGCTGTGGTCAGAGCTGGGCAGTTCTAGCAAAGTGCAGAGGTAAAGTATGCTCAGCCTCCAGATCCAGTATCCCTCCCACAGATTATCAGGGAAGGCAAGTGGATTTGCTCTGTCCCAGAAGACCTTAAGAGTTGGTGGTGTAAATAACCTATGGACAATTGACACCTTCTTCTATAAAAGGACAGACCATGCTCTCCTTTTCTCTCTATCAGACTCTCTCACTAACCCACTTTCACACACTCTGTCTCTTTCTGTGCAGGTTTTTTTTACTTTTATGTTTATGTGCATGGTTGACACAAGTGCAGAAATTCAGAGGTCTTAAGTTTTCTTTTTTTTTTTTCATTACTGTTGAATGAATCATTTTCAGTATCAACAGTCGTCTCTCTGTAACTCTTTATTACAGAGCGCAAGTGGGTGGAGGATAAAAAAGCTGATTTAAATTCAAGAACACTCATATCGTCATTGCACCAGTATTGAGTGATTTGCTCCAAAGGTTAAGATAAATCCCCATTTCCCTTTCATATTGAATCTGTCTCTGCTTCAAGGATCTGCCAAATGAAATCCTTTGTCTTTCTGACAGTGGCAGCATTAGATTTATTGAAATGTTTGTTGTGAAGGACACATAAACATGTGCACATCTAAAGCTATTCATGTATTGTATGTGATAACACTAAGTGAAACTCTTTTTTTTTCTAACAATTTATTCATAAACAGTTTTTCATAAACACTATACAACTTCCATAACAACAACAGAAGTACAAATTTCACCCAACCCCGCGCCCCTCCCAGAACAAATCCCATAGGCCAACTCTTACCTACGTCCCTAAAAAAATAGTAATAATAATAATAATAATAATAATAATAATAATAATAATAATAATAATAATAATAATAATAATAATAAAAATGTGTAAAAGAAAATATAAATGTAAATAAATAAAAGAATAAACTACATTAATAATAATAACAATAGTAATAGTTCAAATGATGAATAAAAAAATTGTTAAATAATTTCGTAAATAAAATAAAAAAATATATATACAAATTACAGCAAAATACATGCAGCAAAGGTCAAGACATTGACAATGGAAAAGCACACTCCTACTCCTGCAGATATGCTACAACCAACAACCACCACCACACCCTAATCCAGTTATCCAGGTATATTTTTTTCAGCATTTTTGAAAAAGATGGGGTTTCTTTTTCATATTGAACATAATTTTTTCAGAGGCCATGTATAATGCAACTTCTTTAAGCCACATTGAGGCAGTAAGTGGGTGTTCGCTTTTAATACTAAGTGAAACTTAGTGCAATGATAACTGCAGGAAGAAGAAAGAAAGGAAGCAGCAGATAGATGCTCTGTGAGTTGCAAGTCTGTGAAGGAGAAGACAGATTGATGCCATGCTGCTCCCCTCAGGACATCCCATTCATTCCCCCGAAAGTGATGGGATGGACATATTTTAAGCTCTAAATCCTCCAAGTTTCAGTGCTCGGATCAATATGTTGTTAGGTTTTACCGCTGATTTATTGCTTTAACTTTTCCTGCAGTTGTGCAACCACTGCTGCTTACAACACTGGAAGCACCATCAGAAAACCACAGGCTTGAGGAACCCTCCATCTGCTACTCGAAAAGCCCTGTAAGGACACCTGCAAACCCTCCAAAGTCAAAGAAAGAAACCTGGTAACACCTAAAAGAGCCAAGAAGGATTCTTACCAAAGCTTGCTATTTAGAGATCTTCAATAGGAGAAAAATCAAGATGAGGAAAAAAAAGACAGTTATATATAGCCAGCAGCAAATGTAGATTGAGGAATGTTATTTTGAGGAAAAAAATTATCAAAAGCAGGAGACAGGAAGGGAAAGCCAGAGATGACCCTGACCTTAACCCTGCATGCAAGTGCTGATGATCCTCTCAATCTAACCCGCATTTCCACTTAAGTCCTTCACTATCTGCAGCTTTGCCCTTTTTCTGTCTTTAAGGAGAGTGGAATGGATAGGGAGGCTAGGATGCTGGTGGCTCTGTGGCAGCTGGCTCAGCTTCACTGTCTCCGGCTTCTCACTTGGGGCGATGACCAGGGCAATGGGAGCTCTGCAAACCTGCCATAGAGATGAAGCGACATAGGCATTATAGCATGATATGTCTAGCCTGTGGTAGAGCAGGCATATGTGCCAACTGTATGTCTGCTGACAGGTGCTCCATCTGCTCCACAGGTCCTTGATTGGGGTCAGCTTGTCTCTCCTGTGGCAGTCTGGCCGGGACAGTCAGTCATCAAACTGCAGGGCCAGATTGATCTGCAAAAATCTCTTCTGGGACATTGTTGAAGCAAAATGTCACGCCCCATCTCATTGTCATTCAGACTCTTGGTTGACTCATGCTGTGACCTGTACATGCCTGCCAGGATCAGCAGTCTCAGGTAGGCCGTTCAAAACATTTTTGAACTATTTTCAATTTCAATTTCTGAAAACGACTATGGAAAACATACAAGAAGTATCTAACATGTTCAAAAATGTCACACTCCAAAACGACGTCTACTTTAAACCAGGAATGCCCTCTTTATCTTTAGGAACATGTGCACTTCTTATGTGTGAAAGGCTGTGTTACAGTTGCAATCCATACACTAGCACAATCCTCCTCATGCTCAAACTTAGTGAGGTTTAGCATCATTGGAGTAGCCCTCCAATGCGTGGAATGCCTTGGAGGAATACAAATAGTCCTGATTGCAAAGCAAGTTACGTATTCACCCATACAAGGGATTCATGGGGGTGTACTGGTGCATAGCATTGTTGATAACCCCTAACCCACGCTTATGCTTTCTGCCATCTTAAATTTTATTGTTTGTGTTTTGTACTCTTCTGATACCACCAGATGGCAGTGTGGGTATCCTTGCATGTGTACATATGGCCCAAGCAAAGTAGAATTAAATATTATGCTTATATAACCCAATATGTGATTTACACGCAGGTGTAGGTCTCAAGAGGCTTGATCTTAAAGCCACAGTAAGGAGTTTGTGAATAGCTGTAAGAGTCTGAAGTTAATTACCCTGCCGCTTTCAGGCACACAAAAAAAAACTACACCATTGGGGAAACTTGTATTTTTAATGCCTGAAACTGCCATGAGGAGAAAGGTGTCATACAAGCCAGCAGAATATTCATGTTTAAAAGAAATTTAAAAATCCCAAACAATAATAATCTGTTTTTAATGTCCCAACTATTATGAGGTGGCTTGGGCATCTAATCAGGATGCCTCCAGGATGCCTTGCTGGTGAGGCGTTCAGGGCATGTCCCACCGGTAGGAGACTGCGGGGAAGACCCAGGACACGCTGGAAAGACTATGTCTCTCAGCTGGCCTGGGAACACCTCAGTGTCAAGGCACTAACATGCGAAAAATCTTAAGCTGTTCTGTGATTTTTAAAGAATCACAGTTATTAATGGGCTGAACATGAGTATTTTCAAATAGACAAATAAAATTGGACCATTTTTAGGGGTGTAGACATTCATTCACAAAACAGAGTCAAAAATGTGTCTAGATGAGTGAAAAAAAAGGGTCATTTTGTTTTCTTGGTCCAAAGTGAGTTAGACTGAAGTGAATTGAAGATATAAAATTACAGAAATAGAAATAAATGTTTTATGTCATGTTTTCACAGACATCTTAAAGCCATATGTTTAAACCATCAGGTTGGGATCCAAATTCAAATTCAACTTTATTTTTATATCACTTTTAAGACAAAAAATGCAGTTCAAAGTGCCTCACAGAGGCTAAAAACAACATTTAACAGCAAAAAAACCCAACCCTCCCACCCACACACCCACCCATGGACCCACACACACACAAAGACACACACCCACCCTCTTTCACCCACACATACACACACAAACAAGCGCACACAGTGTGAGACTTTAAGATATAGTGTTAGAGAGACATGGCCTGATTAATAAAAAGACTAAGAACAATAATTAATAAAATGACATAAAAGAAACATGAAGAATTTCGATTAAAGTGACCATTTGCAATAAGAGAAATATAAAAAGGCAATCAGTGAAAAGCCTGGTTAAAAAGGTGAGTCTTGTCCGAACAACAGATTTGGAAGAGAGAAGATGGGAGTAAGAATGTGGAAAAAGAGGTACAGAGAAAGAGAGGGAAAATGAGAAGGGAGACAATCTAGAATAATGTATGAGGTTCATACTGAACACCTGCTTCCAGCTGGTTTTGTCTCTCATTAGGAGAATTCCCCTGTGAGGAGGGAACCATGAAGGAGGCTGGTCACAAACAACATAATACAAGACAAGATGGCTGACATTTCAGCGCAGATCGACACTGGGGAAAATAAACATTCGGTGAACACACAGGGTTGATCAGCTTTGGACAGAGTAGATAAATCGTAAAAAAAAAAAAAAGTGGGTGAAAAAGACTTTTGTGATGAAAAAACAAAAATCAATTTTGATTTTTTCTGACATCATGTTGCCAAATTCTTTCCTGTTTCCAAATGCACACCATTGTTGTTTCGTTATTGTTTTCTAGCAATGGATGTCTGAGCGGGGCGGAACAGTGGTGTAGTGGTTAGCACTATCACCTCACAGGAGGAAGGTCCTTGGTTCAAATCCGGGTCAGGGTGTTTCTATGTGGAGTTTGCATGTTCTCCCTGTGTCTGTGTGGGTTTACTCTGGGTACTCCGGTTTCCTCCCACATCCCAAAAACATGCAGAAGTGGGGTTAGGTTAATTGACCACTTTCAAATTGCCCATAGATGTGAATGTGGAGGGTTGTTCATCTCTATATGTCAGCCCTGTCCAGGGTGTCCCCTGCCTATGCCCGAGGATGCAAGGATAGGCTCCAGCCCCCCACAACCCCCAATAGGAAAAAGCGATAGAAAATGAATGGATGTCCAAGTGTGATAATGTGAAATCATTATCATCAAGTAGCCACTGATTGAGTGAATTGTACTCTTTATTCATTGAAAACAACTTTTCAGCCAAATCACAGATCGCCTCTTGCCACATATCTAGTTTTTAACAAAAAGCACAACAAGTAATAATAGTCCAAAAATGCATTTTCTTCAGAGCACTCATTAGCCCCAGTAAAAGATAAGTAAACAATATGAGAGATTTTCTTTGAAGCGTTGGCAAAATGACTGAATTATATAAACTCTTTATCCTGTTGGAAAGCAAGACTTTCACAGCACAATCAGGACTTAAAGGAAAGAAATGGGGAAAATGTTAAATTGTAGGGGGAGCCTGAGCTGTTAGAAAATGAGTTTTCTTGGGTGTTGTGTTACTAAAAGTCAGGCTCATTTTCATCTGACTGTCTCCACCTTCAGCCAAAACTTTCAGGAGAGAAGTGACTTAGAATATTTGTCTTTCAAAGTGTCTGGCTTCTAGTGTCTGCCTCTGTTTTTTTTACTGCTCTGCATCAGTCTGGTCTGGGGCTCCACGGGCAGTGCGATCAATATAGAGAGAAGGAGAGTGTGGTAAAACTTCACAAGTCTTTGCAAGGTTCAACAGAGAAAATTGCTCATTTGCATGGCAAAGCTCCAAATGACCCTACATCCAAATGCTTTGTGTGCACTCCGGCAGGTTGGCTAGACTGAAGCAATTTGGCAAAACAGCACCTGACCAAAAAAATCAGCAGCTGACTTTTACAGTAAAATTTCTCCGAGATGACAAAAGAAAAGCTCCTCTCACGCTGTGTCTGTTTACATGTCCGCACTGGATTCATTTACTGAGAAAAATTATATATAATCATCCTGTGAAGTTGGATTCATACTAAAATCATGATATTTGGACTTCACTTTGATCATCCTTTGACAAAATCCGTTTCTTAGGTCCCACAAATCTATTAACACAAAATTAACTTTAATCTCAGCTCCTGAGGGTTTAGATCTTTTACCATAATCAAGAATACCATCCTGTGATAAACTTTTGTCCTAGTTACCTCAACATAAAAGCAAAGTTCCGCTACATCAAGCCCATAGACTGTATATAGAATGGACAGTGTCTGCCTCCTTGCTGGGTGAGGCCACCCAGAGAACAGCACCCTCTGTTGACGGGCTGCAGTATAGGTCATAAATCCCGCCTCCAAGACAAATCCCACAGCTCCATTTTTAAAAGTTATTCGGGGGTTCATGTTTTCTATGATTGACACCTGATACAGCCTATTGGCGCTCAAGGATTGCGTAGCTCACCCGGGGGATACACTGCTTGAGTCGAGCGTCATCACAGTGACTCTCGGCAACTCTCCCACTGAATGCGTACAATGCTACTGCGCAATGCTGGTTTCAGGGAATGAAGAAAAATTGCAGAAATAGCGAGAGCTTTTTAGCTTCAAATCCGTATACTGGCGGGAGGCGGAACCAAGTTGTCCATAGTATATACGGTCTATGATCAAGCCAGGTCATGACACTGTCTGCCAGGGCAACATTTTTTAACTAAACAAACATAAACACACCTCCATATCCCTCCTCGGTTCCTCTGTCATGTGTTACAGCTTAGTTTATTAATGTTTCCTCTCCTGCTACATGTCTGATGTGAAAAAGCAGGTCTGTTTGTGTAAATCTAAGATCATCTCTTCCAGCTCCATGTGTGCAGAAATACTACCTTCAGCCATGTTTAAAAGACATCCTTCTGTCATTTCAGCATGATCTCAGTTTGATTTTCAGAGGAAAACCTGAACTGAGGCATGAAGTTATTTGTCCCACTGAGGCTTCCCTGCCTTTAAATTCATTCTGTGTTCAGGTGCGTGCTACATAAGCTACCAGCCTTGAATCCCGGTTATATTCAGTCAGCTGCTGACTTGTTACTATGGTGGTTTAATCTTTGAGTGAATGATAAGTTAACGAGGATTACATCTTCATTCAAGTCTTTTCCATTCATATAAAAAGCAGATTTTTTTCCCTTTTTTAAATATTTTTCTGCAGTCTGTCTTAAGATCTATTGTTCCTTTTCATTTCTCCCTTCTGTCTTTTGAGTGATGAAAACATGCTCATGTGTATGAGTTGAACTGGACTCCTTCCTTTGATTTCATCAGACACCTCTGTTCAATCTTTTCTTTTACCTGTATTCTTCTCTGCTGTCACGCTCTGTCACTTCTCTGCAGCACTGTGGGAGGTTTCTTCACACTCTTTGTGTGTTTGAAAGTCTATCTCTTTTTGTAGACAGCATCTAATGCTTTATAGAGATTGTGTATGTTGATATTTGTGTGATACCAGAGTATTTCCTGAGGCTGAGAAGTTGGTGATTTCTCAGCTGGCAGAGCCAAACACAGCCACATGTAGATATCTCAGACTGTCTGATTTAATGCAGATATTAGCTCATAGCTTCTGCCATCTCTAGTTAAAGGCATGGATGATGATCTGAGAAACAGTTGAAAACACTGAGCCGTTAAGGCAGATTTGAAAGAAGCGTCCCACCCCCCACACACAAACCTCTTCCCTCTTAGCTCCATGATAACTCCCCCCGAAACTGTATCGCCCTCCCCATGACACACCCTCTCTGGCAGAGCAAGAAGCCAGCCAGGAGAAGATTCTACGCTAGCTTCAAATTGGATTTACCACGTCGGATTGCCAGTGACTAGCGACAGTAAACGCCAGCTCTGCTAGCAAGCACCGTCTGCAGCTGCCATGCCTGGACAGCTACCATGTTGACATTGCAGCAACTAATAAGAGTTATTTATGTAACATGTGCCATGATAAAAGGCAAAAATTACCTGTTCAACAAAAACTCTGCTGTCTTGGCGTCTGTATTCAGGCCCAAATCCCGGCGGAGCTTTCTCCACCACTCAAAGGATGACCCAATGTTTATTCGTGACTTGGTCACATTTCCTCTTCAACTGCCCTTTCTTCTTTTAGCTTGCGTTTTCTTAGCACCTTTGGCGGTGGGGCAAACAGAAGTGGTTTTTTTTTTTTGCATCCTTCACCATCACAGCTCCTGTCGCTAAGCTGCTATGCTACTTTTAGCCACTCAGAGCTCCAAGGAGGGCCGGGAGAGTGGGAGGAGACAAGTCGGAACTACGGGAGAGGGGTGTGTCAAATACAGCAAAGTGATTGGATGGAGAGGTGGAGCATGAGATTGACTAATAGGAGCTGTCCGGGATGGATGGTTCCTATTGGTCAATTTTTTTTTTGCAGCCCTGCACCTGCTATGGTGAACGGATTTTTTCCATTCTTTCTCCTTCACTTTGTGGAGATCGCACCATAGGACTATGATCGCCATATAAACAATGTTCATAATAATTACCAATCTCGCCAATCGTCATCTAAGATTCTGATTTGTTGATGCAAAAATAAATTACTGTGACTAATTAATTTTTTTCTTTTCTCCTCTTTTTGAATCTTAAACAAAATTTTACCAAACATTTTACCTGCCAAATATCAAAATATCATAACCTTCATGATTTTGTCAGCAGCAGCAGCAGCTGACATGGAAGCCTGTCAGTTCGACAAAAAAAATTACAGCTGAGCACAATAACTTGTAGTAACGAAACAACCAGCTTGATAATCAAAATAATCCAATTCACTGGAAATTAGTTCTCCCCCTTGCTGCTTTTCTCTCTCTCTCTCTCTGTTTTGAAGCAGAACTAAATATCTACAAATTACAAACAAAAAAGGATTGTGTTGCTAATTAATCCCATGGTGTCTGCTGGTGTTTGGTTGTGTGTGAGGCATGTGTTTGCTTTTCCTCCAAACACAGACACAGCTTGTATTTCATCCATCTTCTCTTCACACACCTTGCCCTTTCAGTGTTTGATCTGCTTTGTTTGGTCTTTGGTTTTTGGTCCAAAATAAAAAAGTCATGTCCAACTCTACTACTGCAGAGTTGTTACTGGCAAGTCTGACTGGCACTTCTGGTTTTGGCATGCAGCAGCTAACACAGGAGTGTGTTGATGATTTTGACACATCATGTGGAAGTCCGAGTTACAGAGATGAGTTAAAACATGGTACCAGCACAAGATATCGTTCAATCAATCAGTCTTTATTTGTATAGCACTGTTCATGCAAAAAAAAAAAAAGATTTAGCACAAATTGTTTTACATTGCAGAGGAATAAAAGAAACAAAGAAAACCCTAATCTAACACAACCCAACCCCTCATTCCCAACTCGCAATCTAAGCAAAATACAAATGTGTATTAAAATGCATGAACTTAAAAGGGCTCGATTTCATATAAAAAGGAATTTTGCGAACCGAGGAAACGCCATTTTAAAATTCAAGATAAGGAAACACTGGAGGTTTAAAGTCTAAAAACAAAGTAGCATAAAATGAAATTTAAGAAATAATAAATAAAACGAAATAAAAACAACGGTAAAAGATACTTAATTAAGATCACCAGAATAGCTCAATAAAAGATTATCCTGTCATTAAAACTAGAAGAGATAAATGCTAAAACACTTACACAAGGTCAATGATTTAAAATTAAGACATAAAATTTAGTTAAAAGCAAGACTAAAAAGGTTTATTTTCATTTTGCTTTTAAAATCATGAAGATTAAGTCCTCAGGTCTTCAGGCAAGCTGTTCCATAGACGGGGGCCGTTGCCATAAAAAGATTCCTCACCGTATGTCTTGGAGATATGAGACATATGAACATCTTGAAACATGTACATCACTCCTGTGAGAGCTGTTTGACAGAAAAACAACGTAAAAGTTGAGCATAACCTCCATTAAAGAGGACAGCAAATGAATCACCTTGGACCTTGGCGCCATAGGAGACAGGATTAGAAACAGAAAACCTTTCAGGAATGTGAATGTGGTGCAAATGGGCGAATGTAACATGTAATGTAAAAAAATCTTTGAGTGGTCAGAAGAGAAAGCTCTAGATAAAACATTGTCCACTTACAGCAGCATGCAGAGAAAAGAAACACCTTTTTTCACCAGTGTGTAGTTGTTTAGTCTTTTTTTATGAAAACGTCTGATCCAGTTTGTAAAAAAAAATAAAAATGTCTGCCATAGTGGATTACATGGACCTCTAGGAGCAGAAGCTGCCATCTCGGTTGTTAATGAACACTTTGAAGCAGTGCTCTTGTTTTGTCGTATAAAAAAAAGGACTTTGATTGGGTTGGTGCCTCGGAAAGGAAAACATTTGTAATGACAGCTTCTCCAGACTCACATACCAGAAAAATGAATCTGAGCTGGCTGATGGATCTGGCAAAGCAGGACTTTGGAATATGTGAGAAAATTTGTGAAAAAAACAGTTTGAAGGCTGATGTGGTGACAAACAGAGCTTTTAAGAGTTGTCTCTTCTGATACAACAGTTTTTTAGTAAAAGCTGGTGTTTGAGATTACAAGTGTACGAATAAAAAGCGGACATCAGATGTGTTTATCATTTTGCCTTAACTATGTCTGTGCCTTTGAGTTAGTTCATAAATTCCTGCTGGTTAATCAGAAATGTCCAAAGCTACAAAGGTATCTTCTCTCCACACTTAACTCATGACAGCCTCAGTTTTCTGTTTGTTATCAAGATGCAGATGTGAGTTTGTACTGGTTCTTTGTTGTTTGTGTTCTTCTTCTGTTTCTGCTCCTGAAGCGGGTGATTTGTGACTCAACATCCGTTTCCAAAGTTCACTAACAGGCTAAAAAAGGGGGCGTCTGCCACCTGAGCCCTGTGACACCTGTTTGATCAGTCTGTGACTGAGCTGCTTCTGCAGAATCCAGATTCATGGCATACATGGCAGTTTTCTTGTTGTTGTTCTGGTTTTTGTTGCGGCGCTAGGAACAAATATTGAGTCATTTGTCAGTAGGGACCTGTGCACCTCTTGGTTTGCCATGAAAGTATAAGTCTCTTAAAGAAGAAGGCAAAAGCAGAAGAAACTAGGGTGCAGTCAAACACGAAACAATGTCCCTCAAGTTTGAACACCTGTCAGAGCTTCTGAAGAGACAGCCTCTCTCCTTAAAGCGCAGAGTGGAGGGAAATAGATTGAATTTAAAGGACAGACGGAAAGCATCAGAGCACTTGATCTGCTGAATGGAAAAAGAGAAAGAGATAGAGGAGAAAAGACCGTCTCAGTCTGGTTGTCTATCACTTCTTATGGAGAGAATGACTATGAAGATACTCCATAAATCAACACTGCACTCATAAATTAGACCACAACTCTTCTCACAGTCATAGTTTCATGGTTTGTAACTTTAGAACATCAGATTCTCTTTCACCCCCACCCTCCTCTCCCTGTCTCTCTTTCTGTCATTCTCTCTCTCTCTCTCTCTCTCTCTCTCCCTCTCTCTCTCTCTCTCTGCGGACTTCTTTTATTTGCCTTCTCACAAAAGACACTCCAACCTGTCAATCCTCAAAGACTCACACAGAAGAAAGGGAAAATAGTGTCTCTCCATCTCTCCACCTTTCAGGGTTTTAAACTGCCGAGCAGCAGAAATATCACTTAATGAGGTGAATAAATGACCAAATTAGTCAACTGGAAGTGTTAGGCTTTCTCCCCTGTCACTCATTGATGTCTGCAGGAATATCAATTGCTAAAACAAACTCCTGGTTTCTCCCTTTCTCTATCTTATAACAATAACCTCAGTATTAGTTGAGTCATGTCTTGTATTAGTTGGATCCTTCACCGAGCCCTGTCAAATCCAGTTCACTCGAGACAATAAACCTTTTGCATTTTTAGAAAATATATTCTGATACTGTAACAAGACTTTCCTAGATCCCAACAGTAGACGAGAACATCAAATGGTGATAAAACAGTAGCGTTATTTTCTTCTCTTTGTCTCTCTGCCACTGATGAGCATATCCAATGTTTGATGCATTTTACGAAATAGAATCATTGCACTTAAAAACATTGTTCCTTTGCTACTAAGTGACTGAATGAGTCAATAAGACTATGAGAAGCACTTACACTCTAAATGCAGTGTGAGGATTACAATGCCTACATATTACACCACAGAGTGGTATTTATTATGGACTCCTCCCATCCTCTTCTTTGCTGGGCTAACACTGCATATCCTTGTCTAGAAGAGCTCCACAAAGTTTAATTTAAACCACCCAATTTCCTGGTGTCCCTTCAGATTTGTTGGGGAAAAAGCTGAGGCCTTTTCCCTGATCCAGTGACTGCAGGGAGGGAGGGATGAAGGGGGTATGAGAGGAGTTGAAAATGAGGAAACTGGAGGTTGTTTAGTTGACAGATTGAACCTGAGCCAGATCAACTCTACACGTTGAAACCACACACACGTCATATTTGACATTGCGATACAGAGTCAGGGGCAGGTTGAAAGATAAGAGAGATGAGAACAGAGAGGGAATAGAGGATTGAGGGAGGGAAGATAGCAGACTGCTGACAGGGTGGTGGCAGGGCTTCATTACCAAACCAGCAGCACTGGAAGCATTTCTGAGAACTGTTACTGTTGGAATGGATTGAAACACACTTCTACTTGTCTAAACTGTCTCTCCACCAGTTTGCCTCTGATGTGGATTTAAAGTCAGATGAAAGAGAAACTGCAGGAAGGAAGAAATTGAAGCAGAAAACATAGAGAGCAAGAAAACAAGAGAGGGGCATTGGCGTTTTGATGTATCGCTCTCGTGTTTCAGGACAGCGGGCATTTACTGTGGAACGTTTTACACGATCCTTAACTCTCCTCCCACTTTTCTGTGCAATGCATCATCTTTGGGTATTTAATGTTCATAAAACCCAGATCTCACTTCCTGAAAATTCAGTGGTATTTTAGCTTACATGTAAATGTTCCTGTGTTTTTGTCTTAAAAGACTGCTTCTTGACTTTACAATAGACAAGCTAGAGCTGTGCAAACCAGTCACACAAACAGTCACAACATGGGAGTAGGTACAGGATAGCTATATTTTACACCTAATTTTAGATGTCAGCACATTCACACATTTTCGCTCATAGTTTGTCATAGACAAACTGAACAAATGACACCAAAGTGATAACATTAATCCTTTCTTACAGTTATGGCTAAATTCCACAAGATGGAATTAGCCTGATCAAACGTCTACTGTCCGGCTCCACTGCGGATCCACTAAAGCGGTCGGATCAGATACAAAAGACTTCTATTTTTGCTGGACAACACAACACAACACATCAATTCAGTGCAGCGGAGCACGAGCAGCAGTCGAATTTGATTGAAAATATTCAGTTAATTTTCTGAATAAAAAGTCAATACATTGAACTGTTCCTCGTGTGATTATGGGAGGGGCCAGGGTTGTGGGATTTGCGTGTTTATATACACTGCTGATCTCATTCAATGTCTTATGGTGAAACATGCGAGATCTCCTGACATCTCGTCCAGTCTCGCGAGAAATATCAGTGATATCACAAGCGCTTCTCCTCCGCTTGCTGGATTGGATCCAGTGGGCGCTTTATGCTTGCGTTTTGATACGCCTGTTGTTACAGAGCGGAGCGAAGTGGATCTGCATGCGGTGGAATCCCGGCATTAGCATCAACCTCTCCAACAATAAGCAAAAACAGAACCAGTGGCTTCCTCTATGTGGTTGCTACACTGTATAACTCAAAGTAAATCCTCACAGCCGCCAAAGACATGAAATCATGTCACTTAACAGCTCGCACAATGGCATTCACAAGACTCACGTAATCTACACGTTCTGTGCTGTTTTGCTGCTCACTGCTGTTATTGACCTTTGGTTGATGTCTCATCTTCTGTATCATTATCATTTTCATAGTTGTACATGGCAGCTCTTGTCTTATGGGTATCCCATAATTCTGATAAATGTCTTCCTCTGCTCTGAGTGGCTCCTGCAGAGATTTATTGCACTCCCTTCTGAAATCTCCTTTAGGTGCCCTTTCAGATAAATACAGGCAAATAACCATCTATTACAATGACATGTTGCTTTATGCTCTGGCGTTAGTATCCGTGAAAGAACATTTAACATATTGCAAGATTTGCTCAGTATGTGATGTGTCTTGAACCTGGTGAAACGAAACAGAGAAAGTCTCATTTTTTTTGGTTTGCCACACTTTCAGGTCATCTTCTACCAATCATCACTGACTCAAATACTCGGCCAGTGAGACAGTCTATGCAGGAAAGGATAAAACTTAATCTCACCATTCTTATCTTTTTGCATCGCTCCTCAGCCACATGTTATTACTGGCAGAGATATATATTTTAATCTTGTATCCACGTTTTTTCTCAGACAGAAACATGACCGTAACTTTCATATTGCACTCATCTTTCTTCGACATGCTTGGTTAACAAAACACGTGTTCAATTGCCTCAGAAATGTCTCCACCCTTGAAATAAGATAAGAGCCATTAGGGAGATAAATGTCACTTGTAATGATATTAATCACAGTGAGAAGATTTCTATTAAATATAGGACACATTAATCTAATCACCACTGCATCAGAGACAGAAACACAACCATTTTATTTCATCTCTCAGCTGAGGCCAGAAAGGAGAAATCTTAACACTGAGTCAAGCTTCATGTAACCTGTTGCACGAAGACCAAAAACTGGTAACTGTAATGAGCACTAGGTTGATTTTAAATGCAAAGCAATGGATTGAATCTATAGACTGTATATAGAATGGCCAGTTTCTGCCTCCTCACTAGGTGAAGCCACTCCAAGAACAGCACCCTCTGGTGACAGGCTGCAGTATAGGTCATAAATCCTGCTTCCGCCAGCAAAGCTTATGGGGCTGTGGACAAACTTTAGAAATTTATTACACAGAACGTACATTTTTTCCCCCCTGCTTGCGATGTTGACATGTAGTTACTGGAGCTGTTGTGTAGCTAACCCGGGGGTTACGCTGTTTGAGCCAAGCGTCATCACAGGGACTCTCTGCGGCTCCTCCGCCAAATGTGTACAATGCTACAGCGCAAGTGGGGAAGTGCGTACAGCGCCACTGCGCAATGTTGGTTTCAGGAAATGGAGAGAATTACCGAGAGCTTTTGGGCTTTAAATCTGTATACTGGTGGAAGGCGGAACCAAGTTATCCATAGTATATACAGTCTATGTTTGAATCATGTTTCCAGATGCCACCTTGGACAGCACCCCCTGTTTATGTAGCTGTTGAAGTGTGTCCGCTATTACTATAAGTTTGTTTCCTGAGCCATGATGATACCTGGTGAGGAACTATCTGAGTGTGTGTTTTGTGCCTCCTTTAATCCTGGTGTTAAGGAAAGTAAAGAAAGCTGAAGGTCATTTTGTAAGTCCTCAGTATCACAGCAGGAAACTTTCTGAAGAGGAATTTAGAGAACAAAAGTTTTATTTGTTTACCCTGAGCCCCAGGCTCTCACCTCAGATTCTCACACTTACTTTCAGGCTTCTGGGTCTGTCTGATGGTCACAAAGTTACTGTAAACCAATAGTTACTGAATCAGATTGGTCACCCAAGTAAACACCTCAGACAAATAAAGATGTCCCCTGAAACAGCCACCTCCATCTTGTCAGAATGAAAATGTAATTTTCTTCAAAGCACAGTACGGCACCACCTTTGATGCTCACTGTCACAAGTCCCCAGCATCCAGCCCTCCTCTGACCGTAATCAGTCAGTTACAATCACCAGCATCTTTCATCTCTCTGTCTCCTCCCCATCAGCCTCTTTTTCACACTGAGTAACCCTATGTAGTGTCTCCTCTTATCAGTGGAGTTTGTCAGCTCCATGCTGTGTATTTGCTGCCTGCTCTCTGTAGTTCACTGATCATGTGGTGTGTTCGCTCATCTGCAACTTTAAGGTCAGATAAGGTAATAAAGCATTCTGTGAAGTCAACAGACACCTTAATGAGTCAGTCAGGTCAATCCAGATAAGGATTTCTTTATAAATCTTGAAATAGGTGCAACTGTAATCTGGTTAGATGGTAGTGCTGTAAAATTTAATTACAAATACACAAAGTCAAAAAGTACTTTTTCTGTCACATGCTGCTCTTCATTTATCTTTTAAACATTTCTTTTTTTTTTTACATATAATTTCTGCTTGTGCTGCGAAAAAGTCACAGCAGTGCTTTGAGTTGTCAATACACATTTTATAGATAGTGTGTTGCTGTTTCTCTCCAGTGGGGAATTTGGGCTGCTTGGGGTAGCTTATCTTGAGGTTTAACCATAGACTGTATATACTATAGACAACTTGGTTCCGCCTTCTGTCAGTATACAGATTTGAAGCCAAAAAGCTCTCAGTAATTCCGCATTTTCTCTCCACTTCCTGAAACCAACATTGCGCAGTAGCATTGTACGCATTTGGCAGGAGAGTGGCTGAGAGTTGCTGTGATGACGCTCGGCTCAAGCAGCGGAACCCCCAGGTGAGCTGCGCAATCCTTGTACACCCATAGGCTGTATCAAGTGTCAATCATAGAAAACATGAACCCCCTAATAACTTTTAAAAATGGAGCTGTTCAGAAAAAAAGAGGACTTGAGCACAAACGAGTCTTACAATAACAACATGTCAACATCGCAAGCAAGGGGGAAAAAATTATGTTCTGTGTAATACATTTCTAGTTTGTCCACAGCTCCACAGGGATTGCTGGAGGAGGCGGGATTTATGACCTATACTGCACATGCTGTTCTCATGATGGCTTCACCCAGTGAGGAGGCAGATGGCATCTATTCTATATACAGTCTGTGGGTTTAACTAATTGATAAGGATGCCTGTTAACACTTTTTGTGCATTGCTTTTGTGAACACCATCATTCGCAAAGAGCTGGCAAAAGGTGGAGGAGAGGTGCCCAAAAGGCAATCAGAGAGTGCCTTACAGAGGAACTAGCAGGGGTTTGGGTCTTTTTCCACGGACAGACTTGTACTTACTCCTGGAGGACCAGAAGCAATACGCAACAAATGGCACAGTCAGCTAAAATTAAGAGTTAGCAGGAGAATCTTAAAAAATCTTTTAAAAAAGTGTGTGTGTGTGCATGCTTGTGCATGTGTATTTCTCCTCCCTCCCCTGAGGCAGAAAAGCCCTCAAAGAGGGAGAGATAGCCTGAGTGGGTGCAGATCCTGAGGCAGGATCCAGAGAGGAGGTGCACTGGAGATAGTTTACAGTTTTAAACACACTTGGCAAATCGGATTTTTGAATTCTATAATTTTTTTGCATTTCATTCGTGTGTTTTTTCTCATTTTAAGGTAGGGTAGGCAGCATCTGAGGAAGTGCCAGTTTTTGGGGAACTGGCACTTCTCTCCCCTTCTCTCCCCTCCTCCTCTCCCCTTCGTCGCTGCTCTAGAAAGCCCCACCCACAAACAGACACTCCTGCTCACTCGTATCGTTTCAGTTAAATCCAGACATAATGCAGATAAATACTTCAGATAATTACAAATGGGGCGCAGTCAATGTTAAAATAAAAAGCATTGGTGCGACAGCCAACACAAGCAATAAACGTAGTAAATACCGGAGAGTCTGGCAGAATAACGGGCGCTTAAAATGGAAGTAGACTGGAAAAGAGCGAAGAAGCTGGATCAACATCAGCATAAATGATGGGAGATGCTTGTGTTGGCAGCCGTGGCCAAAGGAGGATTCAGACAATTTTCCATACTTTCTGGTTGGTATCTACTGTTCTCTATTGTAGCACACTAACTTTGTTTGGGCTCGTACACATTATTGGAGGACGTAGAGCATGCCTCACAACATGAGGGAGCGGCGTCTGCCTCACAACCAATTAGCAACAATCAAGTTAGGGGAGGCAGAGAATAGCTTTGTTTACAGTCAGAAAGAGCGGGCCGCTCAAAAATTTTAAAATATTGACTACACAGACATAACAAAACAGCAATATTGTTATATTCCCAAATGTCATCAATAACTAATAGCTGTTGACTGATATTAAAAGCTTTTTTTGTATATACACCACAAAAAAAGATGCTCCTTTAATGGAATCCTGCCTACCCCACCTTAAAGCGCTGGCCACCAGTGATGATGCCAGCCACTATATGAAAGACTCAGAAGCCAACCTGATGGGCGAAGCCTTCCCCTATGCACTCCATTTCAGCAGCAACAGGGAGATAGGCCATCTTTATAGCAGTGGTCATATCAGTGACCTAGTGTATAACATCATGATCAGTGGTGATGGAGACATCATCATATCATATTTGCGATTCATTTTGAATATCATTTCCAATGATGAGCCGATTAAAGAGGCAAATAAAGAGATGGGTAAAAGCCAGACTGAGGAGTAGATA